CCTTTTGAGAAGATTCCGCCGCACTTCATACAGTTGTTGCTTTTTTCGATAATGAGAGTTGGTTCTCTTTTGACGTTTAAATAGCTGTTTGATTTATGTACGGATGATCCGTTGGATTTAAAATTGTTTGTTAGCTTTAGGTGGTTTGAAATTCCCTTTTCGTCTATAAGTGCTACGTTTAGTGCTTCGCGTGGGGGAAGGGTTTCTGTTAGCAGTTTTCTTTGGATGTCGTAGTTTTTGATGTTGTTTATGAAAATGTCTCGTATCTACTCTTCTTCTCCTGCGTTACATCGCACTTCTTTGCCATTTCAGCTAGGGCACCCCAAAATTGTTCGAGCGATTCTCTGTCCCGTTGTTTTCGGTTTAACAATTTATGGCGTTCGAATGTGACATTTGTCTTTCTTACGAAAGCGATCGCTAGAGAATCCCAGAATTCTTTAAAAGAGATTTGTAAGACTTTCACCTTGGTAAATTTTTGTCCGAAGATCCTTTTTCCTTCGTTTCCCAGTGCTAGATATAGAACCGAACGTAATTTTTTATCAGCTTCTTCTAGTCGTTTTCCATTGAATTTCTTAGTTTCAGATTTGATCGAGGCTGATTCCTCTTCGTCGTATCGTCTTTGTTCCTGGGTATTTCTCTCCATTCTCGAGCGTCTTTGGGAATCTGTTTCTCCATCCGTCGGATTTTCCAAACTTGGAGGTTGAGGGTGATGTCTCTCCGAAGGATTTAGTAAATGTTCTATATCTATGTTCTCTTTAGCAATTATAGCTAATTGAAACAGATCACTCCAGTCTTCCCAGGGAATGAGGGGGTCTACAGTATGGTTTTGCCAAAATGAAGGTATTCCTCTCACGTTAGATTCGTTATTTGACTGCGCCATGATTAAATATTACTTTGTTGTAGCTAATTCTAAGTTAAAACTATTTAAAAAAATAAGAATTAAGATGAATTAGTCGGTAAGTTAAAACATTAAAACACTGAGAGATCATTCTCTCCGCCGGAGAGAATGGCCAATGAGGGTCATAGAGGAGTGACCTGTTAATTAAAACTAAATACATTTTGCAATAAATGCAAAATATGATGCACTCACAACAAAATTAGTGACTTTTGTTGCGCTTTCTTTTGAGCAGCTTACAATTATAGCTTTGTGTTGTATCGCAAGCTATGCGAAGCTCCGCTTCACCTCTGTGTATTAATTTATCATCATTCGGTCCTTCAATCTTCAGGGAAAAGACCAGCAGACTTCATTTTCAGCTCTTGACCCATTGGCTACAATCTGTTTGCCTTTTTTCTTTTCTATGGTGCCAACAGCGTAGTGATCAATATAAAACTAGTGGTCCAACTGCTGTAGCACTTCTTTCAGTTCTCAGTTTTTTGGAGAGATATTTTTCAAGTTTTTCAAGAGAGGGCTTTGAGTTGTTGTTGGACGGTAATTTGTCAAAGTCCCAGTCACTCAAAAACTGGATTCTTGGGACTTACCGAGTAGCGGTGATTGGCTCAAGTTTCCGCCTCCTAAATTAAAGGTATGTTATCTTAATCAGAAGCACAACAGAGAATCCCATAAACTTGTAAAGTAGTCAGTAAACTACTCTTGCAGTAAGTACTCTTTCCCTCGTGGATAATTGCCCTTAACTAGCGACTTGGTTAATCAAATGAATGTGGCTTAATTTTTGTTTGTTATTCAGACAACAGTTAGTATCAGATTCATTCGGGGTTTAGGAACTTAGACGACACGAAATTAGACGATCAGAAAATACCGGAATTTAGACAATAACCTGCGAGCAAATTGCGTGAAACTTGTTCACAGACTTCTATTATCTTTTGGCTGAGTAAATACTGGTTGTCCGTAAATTCCGTTTCTTTACGGTCGTCTAATTTGCTTGTCGTCTAATTTCCTAGGCCCCGATTCATTCATATTCTGCTTATTCGGATTAGCGATGACTGTTTTATTTAAGCAATCATTGATATCATAACCTTATACTCACTGTACGTCGCTCAGAACCCACATTACTTCTCAAAAAGCAATCATTCCTCAAAATAAAAATAAGGATATTCTCATGACAGAAAGACTGAATGCGAGACCAATTTCAACCAATCAACTTTTCTCGCATAACTTTTTGAAGGAGTGAGGTCATAATTTAGACTTGTCATTAAGTAGACACGTCGTGAGCCAATCAGAATCAAGATAAAAAACAAGCGTACGAAATATTTTCCTTTCTCGATTCTGATTGGCTTACGACGCGTCTACTTTATGACATGTCATTTGTACTACCTAACCTTTTTTGAAAGTTTTTTTTATAACAACATTGGTTTTTGTATATGCTAAATTTGAAAACTATAATCAGTCACCGCCATAAACATACCAGCCACACAGTTGTGGACTTAGTAGAAGGTGGACGCCGCTCATTGGAAATCGACCCAAGATCACCTTTGTTTCTGTATTACTGCACTATTTTTAGCAGAACGACCCAGAAAATTTTCCTAGTGCAGCTTTGGCGCCTACATATACTGTTTTTGAGGGGAAAACATCTGCCAGAAAACGCGATTTTTTTTTAAAAACTGCTCAAAAAGTGACTAAAAACGCCATTTTTGGCCTGTTTGTTCAGATATCTTGAAAAAGGGTTTTTATTGTGTTTTTGGAGTGCTCGGAAAACTTTTTTTGGAGCACAGCACAAATTTGATGCTCCCCCACATCGAGAAAATTCTAGATCCGCGTCTGCAACGAGATCAGAAGATGATTGCTACAAATTTTTATCCCATTAGAAATCGTCACCTAAAACTGTTATTGTTCTGATCACCAGAGATGAGGAAGAACTTGGTATTCGGTGTGTTTTCCACCTAAAGTCAGGAACCACAGGCATATGTCAGCTGCGATAGAATGATGTATCAAATTTAAGTTTTTCTCACTCGTCGTTCGAGCTGTAATAAACAAATTGAGAATTTTTTTCAGTTATTTAGAGTAAAGAATGGTTGTCTGTGTTTTACTAAGCTTACCAACCCTCCTTAATAAAAAACAAAATTTTTGTTTATATGGATTTTCTTAATTGTGGTTTCTGCTATTTGCAGAGGATCTATGAAATTTTATCGAGCCTGTATAAGCAAAATCCGTTTTTAAACACATTCTAGTCTGAATTGTTTTGTTGAACCAAAGCTATTGCAGCCGAATTTGGTCAGAATGTGGTTGACTTGAAGCTGGAGGTCAAGTGAGAGCTAGTCCTCACACACTATCGTTGCCATCGCAGGGAACCGATTACACGATCTGACGCTCACGAGTTGAAAGCCTTAACACTGTGATAAAGGATGAAAATGTTCGTTTTTATTGGCTAAAAATCCAGTTAACATCCTCCCTGTTGAAGTTTTAAAGGGCAAAATGCTAACTTACTCCATATTGACTTAATTCGTTTTTTTACTTGTTTTTTATTTTACTCACTCTGAATGAAAGCAACTTTCCGGTCAACCGGCATGAACAAACAGAACGCTCACTTTTCAATGGAAACGAACGAAAGCAGATTTTTGAAAACACTTGTTTTTGCGACCGGAAAATTGAAAATTAGTTAAATAAACACAAAATATCCGGCAACACCTTTTCGTAATTAATAAGTCTTTTAAATGATCGATGACTCATTATACATTCAATGCTGAAACGAATAATTGCTCTGAAAACATAAGGTCAAAGAAAGAATTTAAGCTAGGGTTGTTTTTTGAGCACATTTTGGTTGCTCATAGAGACATCATAAAGACTCAAATGATGCGTAATTTTGATTCCTTTTTCAGACGTGATTCAAAAGTCAATGAAAATATTTTACCAAAATTATTGAGAACAAAAGAGTCTGAACAACTTCGCGAGAGAGGGTAGAGATAGGTACGGTAAAAAAGTAGTAACAGGCAATGGGTACCTAGTTTGATATGAATAGACCATTTGTATGATGTGCGACGAAGTTTAACATAAGACTGCATGTAAGAAACAAAGTGCCGAGAATCTATAAAAAGCTTAGCACTCTACCGTGTCTATGCATAGTCAGTTTCTCTTATTTTCTCCTCATTCCAGATTGAGTCATTTTGTTGAGCCAAACTCTTTTGTTTGCATCCAGAACTGTCACGCGGTACAAGCATTGTAGCCCAAATTGGCCATGCTGAGGTAAAATTGAAGTTTGAGGTCAAGCGAGAGCTCGTCCTGACATACTATCACTGCCATGGCAGGGAATTGATTACACTATCTGACGCTCTCGAATGAAACGCCATTCCACTATGCTAATGCCTCGATTTAGATTCAATTTTTGCGCTTACTCATTAATAAACTGTTTTTGTAACATAAAAAAACTACGACGTAAGGAGAGTTTTTGCACGACGTTAAGAAAATATAATAATGAGCAATTGCAGATTTGATCAGTTCGAAAAAGCGCTAGCTAGAACACTTGGAATAAATTTGCGAATTATCACTTTTTTGAAAGTTTTTCTAATTATCTGTAAATATAACCCCAATGTGACCAGCTTTTCTTCGGTTTTGTATTCAGGTGATGCCTTTCAGTTTTCATTTGTTTGAAAACACTTTTTTCCAGCAAAATCAAGTACCACAAGTAATCGTATCATGTTGAATCTCATTTTTATTGGTGTGATCAATATTAAAAAAAGACAAAAGAAAGCAAGCAAAACCAGCAGTTGGAGCCTATAGAGTTGTTAAATAAACTGTAAAAAACTAAGTTCTTACTTATTGAAAGCTAATTTTGAAGGTTCACTTAATCGTTTCCCGGATTTTTTTTTGAAAAAAAAAAACACCTAGTTTTTGCTAATAGTTTCGCAAAATGAAAGTGTGGTGAACTAAGGGCAAGTATTCATTTTTTTAAGCCCATAATTTGGTTTTCTCTCGCGCTCAGAAGTGTCACAATTTTGGAAAAAAAAGCATTCGCAAAAATCTATTTTTTTGAAATTCTCCTGGTCGGAACATAATGTGCTATTTTCTCATTGCTACTCTAGTTTACCGTTTGTGTGTGTGTGTGTAGAAGTCGCAGGACGGGAGTCAGTGCAATCAGGCCATTATGCTGTTGACAGACGGGGCAGTTGACAACTTCGAGGAGATATTCGAGGAGTACAACAGCGAACGAAGGGTAGGATATCTTTAACTATATCCCCCCTTTTGCAAAAGTGGGGGACTCATTACTGGGTTTAAAATTCTCATAAGCTTAACTGTTAATTTATTTCTTAATTGGAGTGGGGGCGGGGTATTCGTTACTAGGTACCCGAGGGGGGATATAGTTTAAAGAGATCTGAAGGGTACATTGAGCTCAAAATTTCTTCCTCACATTTTCTTTTTCTTGTAACACTTTTGCTAAGACGTCTCTGAGATCAAAAAGAGTTCAGCGTGGATGCAGCCAATTTTATGATTTCAATTGGAAAAACTCCAGGAGTACTAGGATTAAATTGGTTACTAGGATTAAATGCTCCCAAAGGCGGAAAAAATGCTGAAAAAGTCGAATATAATCCCATACTAAACTATCAGGGAGCGCACGTCTTTCAATTCCGACAAATCGATAGTTGCGGGAAGCAACCATGGCCAGGGGCGTTTTGATCAAAGGGCACACAAATCCAGGAACCTCAAAGAATTTTCGTATAAAAGCAACCTGGCTAATTTTGTTAGTCTTGAGTGCTGGTGGTTCTATTTGTTTCATTCAAAACAGAACATGCAAACTCTCCTCTGATGATTTTATGCGTGGCTTAAATTGGTTCTAAATTTAAGTCTAAATAGGGTTTTATTTCATTTTAGATCAGAGTCTTCACGTACATAATCGGCCGAGATGTGAAGAATTCTGACCCTGTGAAGTGGATGGCATGCAACAATAAGGGATGGTATGCTCAGATTGCCACTCTTGCTGATGTTAAAATCAATGTCATGGTTAGTTGCTTTATTAAGAGTCGATGGACGTAGTTCAGACTTTTATATAGGTCTTGATGACTTTTTCTTTGTTTTTTTTTTCAAGAAAAATCTCAAAATGTTCTAATAATACAAGATGTGCGTTCATGCTTATGAATGCACTCTCCAATTAAGAAAGCTTAAATAGCTTAAAAATGTGATCAATTTCTAGTTTTGTAAGTGGATTTTATTTTTTAGGTTTCCCTGCGGAATAAAAAATTTTCCCTAGTAATCCAGTTTTCTCAAATTGGACTAATTTTATCAAAAACTTGTCAATTATACGGTGCCACTGCCACTATTGAAATTAAAAGAACTTTACGGGTATATCTTTTTTTGTTTGAAATTCGAAAGTTGAATATGTCTTCAAAAACATGTCAATTTTTTTTTGCTTCTTTGCGTTGATTCACTCTTTCTAAACTGTCTGTTGGCTAGATTTTTCTTATTAAATAGCAAAATAATGGAAAAAACATTTTAAAAAAACATAAAAAACAATTAAAACAGAGCAAAACACCAGATTTTCAGACAATATTTTTGTCTCAAGGTCGCTTATATTTCCAAATTTGCATTCAAAGTTTTAACTTTTTAACCATTACTCAATAATTCTTTTTTTTTGTGAAATGATGCCGACTAGAAGCTCGAAATAAGTTCACTTTCTGCATCTAAATCTCAAACCATCCCATGCTGACAAGAAATGGATTGCAATCGATTTTATACAGATAATGTAGCGATGACGTAAAAAATCGATTCAAAGAAAAGAATCGATTTTGTTTGATACCAAAATGTATTTAAGAAAAATCAATTTCCATCGATTCTAACTCCATTTAAATCCATTTTTTGACAACTCATTTTGGATTCATTTTCATCCAAATATTAGTAACAATGAGTTTACTAAATCGATTTTGTCTGCATTTTTCATGCAATGAAATCGATTCATTTTCTAACGTAAGAATCGGCTCAACCCATTTTAAATCAATTTGCGTATCTAAATCGGCTATTGTAAATCGATTTCTTTCAATTTATCTATAAAAAAATTGATTTGAGTTTATTTCAACCTCAAGTTTGTCAGTGCAGGAACCCTCGTAACGAATAATAAACATTTCGATTTCGCAATAGGAGCAGATAGCAAATTATATATACCTGTTGTCATTTCTAATTGAGCAGGCAAAGCTTGAGTTTTTCTGCTATGATACCCGAAAGTACCAAAACCAAAAACTAAAATTATGAGCTCAGATTCCTTTTGGGGAGCAGTGATGAAGTGGCTACGTCTCTGCCTCTCAATCGAAAAGTCGAAAATTCGAGGCCCACCATTATCAGTGCTCGTTACTTGAACGTGAGGCAACAACAACCAGATCAAAAAAATAACCAAAAAAAAGAATGTAGATTTTAAATAGGGACACAGCAGATGTTGTCCTTAATGAGCTCAACAGCTCGTATATAGGTCTTTTCACTTGTGGATAAATCGCCAGCTTATTTGCTATCTTTGCGAGTATTTAAGTTCATCCAATCAATTTCAAGTATGATGATCTAATTTTTAAAGTATCAATACAATAAATTTTGGGCCTTTTAACAGAAAAAGACTTGAACATTTAAGAGACTGTACCCTTGATTTATCAACTGGATTCTTCAAGCGGATAAAAGATGGCAGAAAAAATAGAGATATTAACAATTTTTTCCAAACTGTTTCAGCAATACATCCACGTGTTGTCCCGGCCCATGGTCATAGCCAAATCAAAACGGTACAAATGGACTAATGTATACATGGATGTTGGATCACAGGTAAATTTTTTCAAAACTTCGTCTATTTTTTATCAATTAATTTTAGTTTTTCATTTGAGTTCACTTTTTGTTGACAAAAATTTATTTCCATTATTTTGAAATTTGGGTAAACGTCTTTGTTCCATTTTTAGATGAGTTCGAGTTAAACTTTTCAGAATTTATTTTGACATGAATAAATTAACTAATCGATGCTCATTTCTAATTCTGTTTCAGGACGTAAGTCTTAAAAACCCCATCTTCTGCTTAGTCGTAGGGTGAAGTATTAAGCCACTAGACAGCTCTTTATGTCTGCTCATTCTTAGATTGGGATCTTTTTAACAATCCACACCCCCTGCAGTACCTGGTATTATAATGTCATTTTTACTATTCGAGATCTTGAAAAAAAATTAAAATCTGTCCCCCTCCCTCTCGCGAAAATGCTACATCCGCTCCTGCTTGAAACAAAGTTTCACCCCGATAGAAGTTTAAATAGAATGATGATTAAGCATGATCGAATATTAAAGCTAGCAACTGATTTTGTCCCCTTTATTAGCAAAGGGAGGGGGGCTATTGTTAAAAAGATCCTCCGGCTGCATCTTTGCAAAAGCATCACACCCCTTTGTCTATATGTTTAAAATAGCTCACCTCAAATTATTTCCTAAGTCATTGTTGTGCTTAGACAGTTATAACGCTGAAGTTAAAGCTAAAGACTTATTCAGAAACTATAAGAACAGTTGCTAGAAAAATATAATAATCAGAGTTTAATAGTTTCATGATAAGTTATAAAACACTTCATTCAGAAGCTATTAGAATAGACAAGCTGGAGAATATATCAACCAGAATCATTGGTAGAAAAAGCGTAGCCGTATTTGCTCATATAGATGATATTAGAGGATTTAACTGGAGCTTAGATAGATAAATATAAAATAAATATAAAAAAACTTGTTTGATGCTAATCACGTCGTAGCTTTTTTTCACCTCACAATTCTTTCTCTTGATTTTTTTGGCGCTGAGCTGCTTTTACACAAATTTATCATCCCCCAATATTTTGTTTTTGAAAGTCAAAATTTCCTTAGAAGAGATAACTAGCTTCAAAAACGACAATTGGTCGACAGCATCAAATCTTAATTTTTGGAAAAAAACGACATTTCAAAGCAAAGGCTGTTAGATTGTAATTTATAGCAGAGTGGCGCCAGGAAAGTTTTCGTGTCCGCTCTTCGCCCGCTCTTCGCCCGCGGTCTAATGATCAATTAGACTTATTTTGGATCAACCGTGCAAACCCCCTTTAAGTAACCAACCGTAGAATGTCCACCCCAGCCACGTATCAATTTTGGAATTACTGTTTGATAAGAAACAGTTATTATGAAAATGTAGGGGACCAGATTTTTTAATTATTATTTTTTTGAAAACTTTTTTTGAAAACGCTTTGGAAAATTTTTTCAGTTTTTCACAAAAGTAAGTTTTTCTCAAACACTACTCTATCGGTTTGTGTTTAATCGGCACCAATGGGAAGTCTGTCTACTACTCTGTGTGCCTGCGCAATTCCCTAGGCTCTTTTCACCTTACCCCTTTCTCTACAGTCTTCGAAAAAGTGTGGGGGGAAAATTTGACCTATAATTTTGGAATTTTGACATTTTCTCAAAAACTACCCCCCAAATTTGGGATTTTGAGTTCAACGGATAAAAAAGGTGATTGGAAACTCCTCTGGATCAGCGGCTACACCCAATTTTTTTTACACAAAAAGTTATGGCCCTCAGAAAATTTTTTAAATTGTTTTACTGTTTGTTCAAAACTTTTTTTATTTTTGTCGACAACTACCCTACTAAATCTAAGGTTTTGTTTTCATTCAACAGAACGGGTTGTCGAAATTTGCCTGCAGAAACGGTTACACGTATAACTTCTTACACAAAAAGTTATGGCCCTTGGAAAAATCAAATTTAGATTTTATGACCGTTTTTTGAAATTTTTTGACTTTTCATGAAAACTACCCTTCCAAATCAGAGATTTTGGGTTCAATGGGTAGACCGGGTTTTGAAAAACTCCCTTGTATAAGAAATTACGGCCACATTTTATTTTTTAAACAAAAAATTATGACCCTCGGAAAAGTCAAATTTTGGATTTTTTGAACGTTTTTTGAAACTTTTTGACTTTTCTAAGTTTTTCTGAGTTTTTAGAAAATTCTGTGTTTTTAAATCTGAGTTTTGAATTTCAATCAAAAAGACGAATTGTCAGCAGCTCCGCTGCATCAGCGGCTACGCCCCAATTTCTTACACAAAATGTTATGGATCTGGGATAAGTCAGATTTGCGGAAAACCACTTAAATTAGCGTTTGCGCCCAATTTTTTTCACATAAAATGTTATGATTTCAATGTTTAGATTTCTTGAAAAGTCAATGTTTTGATTTCTTGTTTTTTAAAACTATTTGACTCCTCTCGAAAACAATTAAATCTGATATCAAGGGTCTAATCGAGGCAACATATTGTGGTTTAGCCTCCATGCATAAAATGTTACGCCCTAAAGTTTTGTTGAAAAAAATATGTCTTCGGGAAAATTTTAAAATCACAAAAATTTCACTCGTATTTTAAAAGAGCAATAACTAGGGTTTGGGTGAAGCCCAATTTAAAATTTCTGAAATTACCCAGTTCATCCCGCATCAGTCAACAAAGTCGAAAAACATCGAACAGGTATCTCCAGTTTTAGTTGAGCCTCTAGCTTAGTTCCGGATAAAAAATGCTTTTTGAATGAGATGTTCCCCTTTGTTCTTTAAACATTCAATTAGAAACTTGGGTTGCGATGTTTAACATTTGCCCCACTTTTTTCTCAACGCTGTATAATGGTGAGGTTTTTAAGGGGGCTGTTCTCATGCGCGAAAGACCGAATGCGCCGCGGAAACTCTCAACAAATTGACGCCCTTTAAACTGTCCAAATCTGACTGATTTTACCGTTTATTTCCTTTGAACTTATGAATAATGAATTGTAATTGTCTGACAACATATGTTGGCGCATTCGGCCTTAGCAATTGAGGAGTTTTCCCCGTTATTCAGATTAACCATGCTGCTGTATGTTTGTTAGTTCAGAGAGAAACGACTAGTTAGTTGAGTATTATCTGTAGTAAAAAAAACAACAGTATCTCAGTTCATCGACATTCTATCTTCTGGCTTTTCTAAAAAGATTCGATTCTGGTCATTTCTGGGACAAAGTGAACGATCTTTCCCCAATCCAGTTTAGCTAGGATGAAGCTCGCTTGGTTAAATCAGAAAATTATTCCGTTTTTAGCAAATTAGAAGCCAGCATTTTTCTGAAAATTCGACACGAAATCCTAAGACACTGTTCGTTACGTCTTTTGGCAAAAATGTATCAAGTATTTATTTTATTTCCTACAAATATTCAGTGTTATATAACTTTTTTAAAATTGTTTTTGTCAAATTAGTAATCTTTGGCTAGTTTATTGTCGCTCAACGGCTTCGGCATTTAACATAAAATTACTATGATTATTTCACATTACTTGAGTTTGCTTTATGGGGTGGGGATCAGGGGTGGATTTAGGGCTTTAGAGTCGGGGGGGGGGGGGGGGGGGGGAGGTCTGTCGCGGACGCGCCCCCTTCCCTCAGTGAATCGACCTACTCAACAAGCAAAGGATCTCCTCTTTGGTAATATCTCACGACATTTTTTTTCGGCCGACCATGCCTAAAATTTTTCTATATGCGCCTTTGTTGCCAATGCCAAAATATACTAATTTTTAAGGGGAGCGGAAAAAAGTCGACAATTTTTTTAAATCAGCACCTCCCCCTCCCCCCACCCTATCCTTCGAGAAAATTCAAGATCCGCCCCTTGTTTCTTGATAATTTTCAGAGTGATATATAATTTTTTATCAATTTTTTTAAGGTTTAAGCTAATATTTTTTGGCTAGTTTCTTGTCAAACAACGGCTCCGGAATTTGAATTAAAAACAAAATGATTCTCTTTCACGTGTCTCGAGTTTGCGTTATGGGGTGGTGATAGCTCACTTAGATTGCTTGGGGTGAGATCATTCAACTGAACTCGTTTCTATCAGTCTTTCCACTAAAAACTGATCAATTATTGCACGAAAAGTATAAGCATTTCTATAGGAGGGGAGTTTAAAAATCCTCTGTGATGTCAAGTTCTTGTTTACTCTAATTTAGCTTTTTTCAGTTCGTTTTCAGTATGAGCTTTTTAATTTAGATTCTAATTTCATTCAGCTTGTGATTGAAAAACTTGTGGGTGAATCAAAGAACAAATCTTAAGAATCTAATAAAATGAAAAGTTCACGTAGAAACGGTTAAATAAATTTGAGATGATTATAAAACCGTTTCGCAAAAGAATTAATTCGATATATTGGTGTTATTTTTCTTGATTTGTTGTAAAAAAATGATACGCAACGACAAAATTCAATGCCCATCATGATATACGAAAAATCTTAAAACGTCAATATTTTTGCCCGCATATAAATTTTTAATAGATTTGACAATTTATAACAAACATTTGATAAAATTTTGATACATTTTCAGTTCTGTCATTGTGTTTTAATTTAGACATGGCTGTGTTAATATTTAGAAAACACAAAGTCAGTCAAAAATGACATCTTATTTTTTAAGCGTCTGATGTTCGTCTATATTTTAGTGCAATTTATAAAAACAAAAGTCCCGTATTCAAAAATTTTTTCTTAACACTAGATATTCATATAATGTCTCTTCATGACAAAGAATTTTCAGAAGTAGCTTGAAAATGTTCAATGGAATTATAACTCAATGTCAGTTTACTTGAAATACTTATTCTGAAACATGTCAAAAACAAGCCCACACATTGTTTCAGCAAACTTTCTCATGAAAAAAATGGACTAGAAAATTTTAAGCACCGGAAAAAATTTCTCGTTCGAAATTACACACTGAAAAATTGCAAACTGAGGTTGGTGTTTGATTTAACTCAGTAAATGATTTTCAAGAGGCAGTAATACTCCTAAGGTTAAATGCGAATCATCCGTTTCAAAGGATGATCTGAAATACAGCATTCAAAGTGATCCAGTAGCTTTAAGACATTCCGTGGCACTGGAATGTTTGTGCCCAAGTCAAAAGCAGTTTAGTAAGCGGTTGTTTTTTGCCATTGTGCTACCAAATTTTCTCAAAAACTCTGTATAGTTCAACAGTGTTTTTTAGTCTCGGGTTATCGTAAGCACACTTAATCCTCCATTTAGTGGGTTTTTAGTATGTAACATCAGTTGTCTCTTTCTTTTTGTAAATTGAGGATGGCGCAGAATGTATAAGAATCGAAAAGTGAAAATTGTGCGTAAGATCGATCCTCCATGGACTTAAAATCAACTTTTTGCTCTCAGTTTTTTTTGCAGTCATCAAATTGAAAACCCGAATTTCAGCGCTGATTCAGAGTTGAATTAGCACTTTGTCGGTCTTTGGATGATCCATGCTGATTCATCAATATTGCCGCCTTGGCCATGAATAACATGTCACTGATCAGAGTCTGAATTAGCGGAAGCAAAATGATTTTTTCTTTGAAACAGCGATGTTTGTTACTGAGAGTTTGATTCTCTCTGAGTGCGCTTCTTTGTGTATAAAAGTCCCAATTTGATATTGTCTCAAATTTGATTTTTTCCCGCCTGATATAAGAGAGAAATTACCTTGATTGTTTATAATAAAGGCAATTTAGGGCATCGTTGGAAATACTAAACAAATCAATACTGAAAATTCTTAGTGCACCAGAATTATGGGTTTAAATTCCGTATTTGCCGACGTGTTACCATTTTTGGTAATTTTTTAGAAACTTAATTTTGATTACAATTAAATTTTTCAACTTTTTTTTCATCGAATGCTGATTGTTCGCTTATAATTCCGAAGCGCAGCTACGATTCATTTTAAAGCTTCAGTCTGTAATTTTAAGTTTTTATCCTTCAGTTCTGCAAAACATAAATGTGAACTCTCATTCAAAGTCACGCAAAGCCGATTAGACATTAAAATTAAATTCAATGCTTTTGTTGCTTAAAAATTGGTTAGCTTTTTCTCATATCAAAAAAGCTCAAAAAATGATTGTCGATCCGACCCACAAAAAATAAAGAATTATGCCCTATGGTAAGTTTCCAGTATTTTCAAGTACTTAAGCGCACGCTTGCATTTTTTTTTGTATGGCTTAATCTAAATGCCTTTTTGTCGTTTTTGGGTTCAAAGTTTGAATTTTCTATGTTTTTTTATAGCTAAAATTTTTTTGATTTATAGTTAACCATGTCCTGATTATGAGAAAACGCTTACATTTTAAGTTGCAATTTAGAAACAGATTTCGTTAGTAAGCTCCGGGCTGATCTGAATATCGATCGTTGTTTTTTTTTGCCACGTAGAATTTCATGAAATTTAACCCTACCTACATTTTTTGACCTCTTAGCAGTTCCTAGGGCTGAAAGCAACCAACCGGAGTCTTTTGTTATCAATTTCCTCAAATCATCTCGAGTTTCAAAGTCACAATTAAGTGTACGGATTCTGAACGGATTTGGCTATGGATTTGGCTATACAAAATAAAGTCTTTCGTTTCAAAAACGAAATCGTAAAAACATGCGCACATTTATTTTGTGGCAAGATTTTTTGTTTTAAAAACATTTACGACGAGCAGTTTAGTCTTGTTATGTTTGTGAAAGTGTGTTCGTAAACCTGTTTTTGTGTGTTCTAATTTGGCTGTCGCTTCTAAGCAATCTACATACTATTACCTACCATATCTTTAAAAAAATCAAGGTTTTAGAAAGTAAAATTTATTGTTTTTTCAGGGCCTTCGTCTGATGACTACAGTTTCGACGCCCGCTTTTGACAACGTGGTCGAAAGGGTAAGTACTAAGTCTAAATTTTTATAACATTTATTGACAAACTGTTCAGTTATATAATAAGTATAACCTAATCATATTGATGATACTAACAAAGTAAAAATAAAATGGAGATTAATAATTTATAATTCTTGCCTGTTTGGTGTTTTACAGGCAATGGAATCTAAACCTCAAACAAATTAATAGGATTGATTATATAATTGTGTGATATTTTAGGCTAATGAAGGTATTCTGCTTGGCGTAGCAGGTGTCGATGTGCCTATTAATGAAATGAACACCTACACGCCATCTTACAGAGTACGTACATGCATATATTACCCAGTTTATACTTCAAAATATGCCACTGAAAAGTTTTTAATTGAAGCTCTTTGGTGATTGATGTTTTAGCTTGGCCTTAACGGATATACATTTTCAATTACAAACAATGGTTACATCATGAATCATCCTGAACTTCGTCCAAAGGTGCGTAAAAATAAAATTTTTCAAACAAAATCAAAGATGAATTTTTGTGCGCTTAAATTCTCTTTCCCTCATACAACCAAACAATAAAAAGCAGTCTTGGCAACTAGTTTTAGATTTTGATTACGCAAATTCAGTTGCTTCCATTAAAATTTTTTTTTAAAACTGCTATTTTGAAAGAAGGCAATATCTAGGTGTAAGGCAAAATTAATAGGAACTTTTGTAGACCAAGCAGTGGGCGGATCTAGAGTTTTCTCGAGGGGAGTGGGGCGGATTTTCAGACCTTTTTTTAGGTCGACCAAACTGATTTTCTCAGCTCTGCCGAATCGCTATAAAAGCCTCATTTTGACCAAGGTTTATGCGCCGCAAAAACGTTTTGAAAAATAGGCCAAAAAGGCACTTTTTGGAAATTTTTTTTCGGCGCGCGCTGTCCCCTCAAAATAAGAAATATTTTAAAAAACTTTAGGGTCCTTTAGAAAAATTTTAGAAAGACTTTAGGGCGCCTCTTGAAAAATTTTAGTGTCTGTCACAAAAATGGGTATCTCAATATAGTACATAGGGGGGAACCTGACTTCGCCACTGAGACCAAGTATTCTCTAGACATTTAATGTCGCATTTAACTATCGAATTTCTTTTTTTTTACTAATTGATATATTTTTCTCAATTTGCCTTAATTTCATCAAAAAAGTTCAATCATAAATTGTTATAGAAATTCAAAGAGCTGTGAGGCCATCAATGTGTTGTCTGTAAACTTCGAAAGTTGAGGTTTTTTTCAAATAATCAGTCCAACTTTTATTGTTTGCTAGTGTTCAACTGTCTTTTCCAACTGTCTGTTGGCTATGTTTTGGAGCGTAGCAAGAATACTGCTACCAATTACTTAGATAGCGATAGATAGTTTGTGCTCGGTTTGTCTGTTTTTTTTCTACAACAACGTTTGATTTTTATATAACCTGAAAATTATTATTGCCCTGAGTTCATACTGATTGAGATATTTCACCTTGAACTACTTTTGATAAATTATTGTTGTCTTATAAACTAGTAATTCGTCCAGTTTCGGATAGTTAAACTGCGCACAAGTTCAGTTCTTTTGTAAACGCGTTGTTTGAGCGGCGATTTAAATTTAATCCGGCTCAGAAATTGATCAAAATTGAATTGAGGCAAAGCAGCTGATTTAGTTAATCGACGCAAATTATATCAATTGTCTCTTTGGGGAACGATCGTTTAGCAGACCAATCTGTTAGCCTAAAAATGAAAATTGAGTTTTTTAGCAGACCAGCATAATGTAGTGAAACAAGATTGATTGACAGACTCAAAAAGACACTCAGTCTGGGGTCAAGCTTGCCCCATTAAGACAATTATCTCACGATTTGTCAACAAAACTGCTGGAGTCCTTCATATGTGAAGGACCGAATGCGCGAAAATGAAAATCAGCCAATCAGGTTTCAGTAATCTAAATTTTGGAATAAAAACTTGAAAATCTGAAAAAAGTTAACATCTCCAGGGACTTAATATTGATATTGGCCGAATATAAAAACGGCAGAGAATGCAAATGTTTCAAATTGTCGTTGACTGCTGCCGAATTGGTGAATTGGAACAAATTTTATACTTCAAGGGTTGTGTTATGAAAGATACAAAATATTGCTTCATTTAATTCATTTTAATTGAATGGCTATTGATTCTTTTGAAAAATTGACATTCGGCTAGTTTTGTTTTCGGTCCTTCGCCCACAACAAAACTATCAACTTCAAAAACACAACAGTCTAAATTAGCGGCAAAATAAAGATTTACGCGCAAAATAACACTCGTGTTGAGTTTAAGTGCAGCGGAGCAAGTGGTCGCTAATCACCAATGCCGCATTTGAAGTTAGCTTTCAGAATTTATAATTGTTCTGAATCTGCTAAAAGATTGGTCTGCTGAAAAAACGGTCTGCCAAAACATGATTTTGAACTATTTTTGATGCTTTCTGGTAATGCGTTTTTGTTCCGATTTTCGAAGAAAGTCAGGAATATATATGCGTTTGGTGATTTTTATTCAGACCGTATTCAGACTGATTGTAAGTTATACAGTGGTAATTCGAACTTGACTCTAAGTGTTCTGCTAGCGTAAGATGACTTTGATTTTACGCAAACTGCTCTTTTTGAAAACTTGAAAACAATAATCAAAATGATCTGAAGACAAAAGAATTAACAAATTAATATCCGCCACACAAAAATGTTCCGACTTAGCACTTGTTATTGACTGACAATAGTTAACAGTTCATCCAAAAACTATCGGAGACTATTTAAAAGGGCAGTTGGAACATTCAAGGCTTTGCCTTGATAATCAAGTAGTGAAAAAAAATTTCTTGAAAACAGGAAAATTATATATCTCAGCGGCGATATCACAGTTTGCAAAACTTTAAAGTTTTACGGAAAAACATGGAAAAATTGTTATAGATGTGAGTTTAGAGCACCAGAATGTTTAATGAGATGAATTAATCAGCTAATAACTTCCAATAAAGTTTTTATTCATCTTGGGAAAGAAAATTACATCGTGCATATACATTGAGTTTTTGTGCCGGCCAAATTTTTTCGCAATTATATTTCGACGAAAAAAAACAACCGTGTTCGTTTTTGGCAAAATAAAGGGGTTTAAATTAGCATGGTTGTACTTATTCACGCGCGTTTTACTTTCTGTTTTTTGGCTTGTTTTTTTTTAAAATTGCCTAGAGAGTAGACCACTTTGACAAAGTATAGTTTCTGTAGGATTTTTGGGGGAGCTTGAAAAATCAATTTGCTCGACTCAAAAAAACTTCAACAAAGCTTACAATATTTCTCCCTCGAAAATTTTCTGAGCGCTCAAATCATCGCAAGAACCGCTCAAGCCGCTCAAATGTTGAGCATTTTTTGAAATTTTGTCCCTAAACGGTTTATTTGTTGCAGAGCGCACGAAACCATCTCTATTAAAATCTGAGCTCCATACCTAACACAAAACCGAGATCCGAGATATTTGGCAAAAATTAACCTAACACTGTTTTATGGTCCAAAAAATAATTTTTAAGGTTGATCGCATATCTTAAAAATTCAAATTAAAAACCGCTCATTTTTTTCAAAAAACTATCAAAAACCGCTCAAAGCAAACATTCTTAGGGTAAATTTTGAGCCTAATTGTCTAACAAAATGTTGAACTGCTCAAAATCTTTCTTGAAATTGGGCTGAAAACTTCGACTCGTGTTCTGTATTTTACGTGTGTGTTTTGTGTGAGTGTAGTACATGAATCACAAAGGCGAAGAGCTGGACAAGCCGAACTACAACAGTGTGGACATGTCTGAAGTGGAACTACAGGACAGAAGACACAACTACACTTACGACAACGGAACCAAAGTCTGGGTTGAGGACGGGGTATGTATATTCAATATTCACTTTCTTTCTTTTCCGAGCAGGGAGGTCGGCGGTTCGAAACTGGAAACGAGCAGGGAGGTCTGCGGTTCGAGACTGGAAACATTTTGAATTGAAGATGATACCCAAAAAATACATGACCGAGGTCTCAGCCGAAGGTGGTCGAGGTTACAAGTTAAGAGCTGCTGATCAGCTTGTATGTTGTTGATTTCTCAGTTGGACAAATTCACCCAAGGATTATTAACGTTTTCTAGAGCTACAACCTCAAAGCGTCCGTATCCGCGAGGAAATCAAACCGCGTCCTTATCCCTGAAGCCGCGAAAAAAAATAGTTTCTGGAAACATTTTTATAGTAAATCTTTGCCCGTATACGAATTTTTAAACCGGTTTTAACCACTGCTAGATAAATTTTTAAAATTTTTATTGAATATATACAATGGCGTGCGCAGAAACTTTTCCAGGGGGAAAAGGTGGTTTTTCAAAATTTTTTGAAAATTTTGTTGACCTTTTTTGTGGACCCTTTGGAAAGTTTTGGCAGTCAGAACTGAGGGGCAGAGGGAGGGCGGTCCCATTTCCCTCGGCACGCTACTGAATATATGGTTACATGACAAAAGATCCCTTACCTTAAGATCCCAAACGAGAAGATCCCAGTCAATAAGATACCATTCCAAAAGATACCTCGTTCTAAAATCGCCCACGACATAAGATACCATAATAAAATAACAAAGAACCTGAGAATTGAAAATAAAGCGGTTAATTGATCAAAGCAAAAACAAAGCGTCGGTTAAAATCAAAGAAACGGTAAAAATTTTGCTGGACAAATTTCGAACATGAATGACCTTGCTAATCACTTGGCCTTTAAAATGAAATTCAAACTTCAAAATAGCTTAGACTATAATTGAACTTGAAAAGGATTTCCAATTAATCAAAACCAACTTTGCTAAAAATGGCCTGATTTTCCAGACAATTCAAGTCGGTACAAAATTGAAATTGAGTTTTTGCAAAATTCTAAAGCTTTCAAATCATTTTCATAACGAATCACTTGCCGTTCTATTTGATAAAAAATATCAATTCTCAATTTTGATCAACTTTTTTTCGCTAGGCGCAATACTCAAAGGGCCGTCAGGCCCCTACCCCCAACCTAGCCTCCCGTCAATAAGAGCAATTGCTCTGGGATCAAATTGCTAGAGACAGCATTTTTGAATGCGAGTCGTAGTATTGCGTTTCGGCGTTCTCCGGGAGAATGCAAGGAGACGTCTATAAAAAAATTGATCAAACAATTTTAAATTTAGGAAAAATTAGGCAAAAACTATAACAAAATTTAATAGGTTAAATGGGCAAGTGAACGGATATAAGACAATAAGTTAGAGTCTGTGTATGAACTTGTTATCTGTTGAACTTTTTCATTCAGATCACGGTACTTCTTCCGGGATAAGTTGATAGTGCCGCTGGATGCCTTCAAAATGTTGAACTTTTGATTGTAGGAATCCAGTTGAATTTTTTCGAGAAACGTATGTATTGAAGGATGGCTGCCTTGAAACAAAGTGGTTACACCTAGATGCCACCCTTCAACTGCATTTGTGGTTCGGGCTAGACCACACACAGCATTTTGATAATGGTTCCAAAGAGAAATAGGAAAAAGTGTTTTTCGGCCAATCAAATCCCCTCTAATGTAAGTTTTTTGGAAATAAGCAGTGAGCTCGTCTAATTTTTCGAAATCGTTTTGTGAAATATCCAGTTTGGTTGCCACACTGCATATTTCCTCAATGACTAGGTCGAACCCGATTTCCACTTTTGACTCCGGAACAAAACTAAGCGCAGGAATCATATTCAGCGCTAAAACTAGCTCGCTGTTTGATTCGTACGTCTTTTTAAGGCCCAATTCGGATATTTTTCGCATAAAACTCTGACAGAGGTGAAAATAGCATCCCTTAATGTCAGTTTCGTAATGAGAGGTAAAAGCACTCAGAGCCGCAATTTCAAAGTCGATCAAAATTCTTTCCGGGGTTACGTCACCGATAAGCGATTTGAGTGCGGTTAGGAATTTGTTATAGGTTGATAAGCGCTTATTGCTAAGCAGAGCGTAAACGCAAGTGGATAAAACCCGCCAATCTGGATGTGTACAGTGTACAGCTGGTAAAACTGACTGGGGCAAATTTTGAAAGTACCGTCTACAAGCCAGGTTATATACAAGCCAGGGTATATGTACAAAATATAAAGTAGAAAAACTTGATTTGATATTTTTCTTACTTTTTCAACCCTAGAAGCTGGTACATGTCATTGAAACGGTACTCATTACACAATCGTTTGCTGTTCAAAATGGAACTTAACCTGACTGTGTAAAACTTCGTTTCGTTTACTCAAATGTGTTCTATCATAATCTGCAACTCTGATTTCTGACGATTAATATGTTTTTGGCGAACAGTCTCTTTAATTTGAATTTCTTTTTAAATTGAATTGACTGAGCTTCAGAAAAAAATGAAGGTTGCAAATTACTCTTTTTTTTGAAAAGGCAGCTTTTGCTTTTTCTATCTTGATATACCAAACACCTTTTATTCTCCCAAATCACACTATTTTACTTGTCATTTTCTATCTAATGAGTCATTCTATTGGCCTATAATGGGGGCTATAATGGGGCCCAATGCTCAAAAGTTCTCAACCGTAATCAATTCTCTTCAAACTGAGCTGACAGATGTTTGTGGTATTTTATTTCGAATTTTTGAATACTTAATTCTGATTGGCTGCGCGTAATTTTCGAGCATTAGTTCACCAGTGTTCTGGACTTCGAAAATCTTATCAAGATCCAGGTTATCTTTAACTATTTGCCCCTCCCTTTGCAAAAGGGGAGATTCGTTATGCTTACCATTGAATTATTTCTTTATAGGGGTGGCAATTCGTTACTAGGTACCCTAGGAAGGGAAATAGTTAAAGAAATCCCATAGATAGATCATACAAGATCCTGCCAAGTTACCATGCAAGATAGTGCACGGTATTGCTTCATCATGGAAGATTTCCAAGTTACTGATAATCATAATCTTGGCAAGATTTTCCGAGATCAAAACAGTGAGTCTTTCTGACACGAGGGATTCTCCCTTTTTATATGTCAATGAACTCTGTTGACCTTTTAAGTGGGTGGTTTCAGCTGCGTAGTAGGATGGTGGATGGCCAAGTGGGGGGCTACACTCTGGATGACGTCATCTACCGCATGTCTGCGTGGGACAGGATAGACATCAGAGACATGAACTACTACTTCACCCCATTGGAGAAAACACCCTTCCGGTCAGTCTGTCATTTTATTACACGAGGAGACAGCTCGTAACAGGTTACAATATGTAACAAGGCGTCAATTCGTAGAAAAAGAAGACTAGTCGTATATCATCGCGAAGCCCGGAACGTTCCGATTGCACTTTGAGGTCAAATCAAAAGTTTTTGTTCCGACTTTCGATACGAAAGTAACGGAATATTTGTGCTCGGGGTGGTTTTTTTTTCTTCAGACAAATTTCGACTTTTTAACTAGCCATTTTCGACGGAATTTTTTTATAGCATTCAAAAGGTATTGTTGTCCTGACCTTAAATTTGAAAAGATATTTCACCTGTGATCATTTTTCGTAAAGTTATGAGGGTTTAAAGATTGCCATTTGGCCATTTTGACCAATTTGGGACAATTAACGCGCGATATAATTCGCGCTATTAACGCGTAAGCGGAGATTTAATCCGTCTTCGAAATCGTTCCAAATTGGTTGAAAGAAGCTTATTTGCCATAATTGATTTGTTACAAGGAACGAAATCTAACCTTTTGTACTTTATATGGCGTGTGGGGGGATGATTTTCTCAAAAAATTTCAAATTTTGGAAAAAATAATTTTCATTTTGTTTCATTTCATTTAATTTTTTATGTTATTACTGCTGCTCCATAAACCTTAAAACGCAGTCGGAACATTCAGGGCTTCGCCCTGATACGAGCAGTCTTGTTTGATTTTCTGCTTGAATAAATAAACTTTTTTTTCATTTTTTTCTCATTTTATCCCTTCACACCCAATGTAAAATACAAGGGGTGTGTTTACCATCTAATATTTTGTATAGGACTAAATTGCTGGCCTCAGTTTAATTTGAAACTTATTAATTTGCCGCTTAGGCGTGTTATAAAAACGCAACTTGTCGCGCTTTAATTATCCCTATTGGGCCAAATTAGCAATTTTGAAATGTTCGTAACTTTACGAACAATGATCACAGATAAAGTATGTTTTGAATTGGAGCTCAAGACAACCACAATATCTTTTGAACAAGGGTATTAAAAAATCCATAAAAACGCTTTTTAGATAATCAAAATTTGACTGAATAAAAAACCACCCAAAGCATAAATGTTCCGCACTTTCATTGAAAGTCGGAACAACAAGCTGTAAGAAAGTTTGGAATGCAAGTGCAATCCAGCTACATGGAGCAACTAGGTTTGACACTTCTGCCAATATCTCTGAGGATAGAGGTCAAGTGAGAGCTCGCCCTCGCAATTATCCTGGCAGAGGACTTAATGCACAGTCTGAAATCTAAAGTCTAAATCAAAAACCCAAATCCTAGCCAAAATCGAAATCAAATCTGAAATCACAATTTGAATTCTACTAGAATATCAGCTTAATTTCTGATAAAAAATAGAAGAAGAAAGTTTCTAGTGGGCCGATTGCCTAAATCAAAATATCTTTGTTCCGACTTTCAAAGAAAACGGAATATTTACGCTTGTGGTGGTTTTTGATTTTTTCAGTCAATTTTTGGCGATCGAAATCATAGTTTTTGACAAAATTTTTTATACCCCATTGACGATATCGACTCCCTGTCCAATGAGTCAAATGTAAAAAAAATAATTTAACTCTAACAAGACTGCTCGTATCAGGGCGAAGCCCTGAATGTTCCGACTGCCTTTTAAGGTTTATGGAGCAGTATTAACATTAAAAATTAAATGTAAGAAAAAATAAAATGAAAAAAAATTTTTTCTAAAATTTGAAATTTTTTATGAAAATCATCCCCCCACACGCCATACAAAGTACAAAAAGATAGATTTTGCTCCTTGTAACAAACCAATTATGGCGAATAAGCTTCTTTTAACCAATTTGGAATGATTTCTAAGACGGATTAACTCTCCGCTTACGCGTTAATAGCGCGAAATATATCGCGCGTTAATTGTCCCAAATTGGCCAAAATGGCAATCTTTAAATCCCCATAACTTTACGAAAAATGATCACAGGTGAAATATCTTTTCAAATTTGAGCTCAAGACAACAACACCTTTCGAATGATATAAAAAAATTCCGTCAAAAATGGCTAGTTAAAAAGTCGAAATTTGTCTGAAGAAAAAAAACCCACCCCGAACACAAATATTCCGTTACTTTCGTATCGAAAGTCGGAACAATAATTTGACAGGGAAAATAAAAATTCATAATTTGACCGTGGCTTGGACTAGTTTAAGCGCGCTTTGAAGATTTAGTTCAAAATGCTGACAGTGTAACAATAGTTATTCGTGCATGGCAAATTATACCGCAGAACAAAATCGTTTAAAATTGAATTGAGGCTAGCTTAGTGTCACACTTAGCTATCACACTTAGTTTCAATATTGTGCAATTTTAATAGATTATCAATATATTCTTTTCCCAGTTGACTAAAAAGACCAAAAATGATCAATTTTCACGGTGAAATTTTGGGCCCGAATTTGGCAAAACAAATTGAACCATGGTAATTTGGTTCAACCAACCCTATTTGAGAAAAACGCGTTTAAATTGCTAGCATAGTTGACAACCATAATTAGAATAGACCCTAATTACACGGTAGCATACGATCGTGGGGTCACCGGAATGACCTGGTGAACTCATTTTTACACCATTAAATTGGTGTCTGAGAGAGGGAGAGATAGTTACAAAGGTAGTAACAGGCAAAATGTACATTGTTAGGTTTGAGTCAACACTTTGTATAATGTGGGGCGAAAATAACACCATACACCCTAAATAAACCAAATTAAGATCCACCACTTTTTTTATTTTGGGTTACAATTGCATGTAAGTAGCTTGTTCTTTTTAGCTCAAAATCCAGTTATCATCCTCCCGGCAAAAACGTTAAAGTTGTATGGGGAAGATGCTAACCTACTCCATATTGACCTAATTTGTTTTTTCGACCTCTTTTCTTACTTCAATCAATCTGAACGAAAGCAACTTTCCGGTCAATCTGGCATGAACAAACAAAACGTTCACTCTTTGATGTAAACAAAACAAAGCAAACTTTTGAAGAAAAAAATTATTGCGACCGGAAAATTGAAAATTAGTTGAACAAGACTGCTCGTATCAGGGCGAAGCCCTGAATGTTCCGACTGCCTTTTAAGGTTTATTGAGCAGCAGTAATACATAAAAAATGAAATGAAATAAAATAAAATGAAATTTTTTTTCTTCTAAAATTGAAAATTTTTCATGAAAATCATCCCCCCACACGCCATATAAAGTACAAAAAGATAGATTTCGTTCCTTGTAACAAATCAATTATGGCAAATAAGCTTCGTTCAACCAATTTGGAACGATTTATAAGACGGATTAAATCTCCGCTTACGCGTTAATAGCGCGAATTATATCGCGCGTTAATTGTCCCAAATTGGTCAAAATAGCCAAAATGGCAATCTTTAAACCCTCATAACTTTACGAAAAATGATCACAGGTGAAATATCTTCTCAAATTTAAGCTCAAGACAACAATGGGTTTCGAATGATAAAAAAAATTCCGCCAAAAATGGCTAGTTAAAAAGTCGAAATTTGTCTGAAGAAAAAAAAACCCACCCCGAGCACAAATATTCCGTTACTTTCGTATCAAAAGTCGGAACAATAAACACAAGACATCCGGCAAGGCTATTTCGTAAAGATTAAGTCTTCTATTCGTCGGTCCAATATACATTCAATGCTCGAATAAGTTATTGCTCTGAAAACCGAAGGTCGAAAAAAACTTTAGTTAGGATCGTTTTTTCAGCACAGTTTTTAGTCCATTTTGGAAACGTCATAGACTGTGTGCTCGGGGGGGGGGGGGTTGTTTTTTCTTCAGACAAATTTTGACTTTTTAACTAGCCATTTTTGACGGACATTTTTTACATCATTCGAAAGGTATTGTTGTCCTGAGCTCAAATTTGAAAAGATATTTTACCTGTGATCATTTTCCGTAAAGTTACGGGGGTTTAAAGATTGCCATTTTGGCCAATTTGGGACAATTAACGCGCGATATATTTCGCGCTATTAACGCGTAAGCGGAGAGTTAATCCGTCTTAGAAATCGTTCCAAATTGGTTAAAAGAAGCTTATGTGCCATAATTGGTTTGTTACAAGGAGCGAAATCTATCCTTATGTACTTTGTATGGCGTGTGAGGGGATGATTTTTATTTAAAAAACTTCAAATTTTAGAAAAAATTTTTGATTTTGTTTTATTTCATTGAATTTTTAAATGTTATTACTGCTCCATAAACCTTAAACGGCAGTCGGAACATTCAGGGCTTCGCCCTGATACGAGCAGTCTTGATAATAAGAATTTAAAAAACAAACTATTTATAAAAAGAATTTTAGGTTTAATTCAATATTCTTGATTCACATGGGCGAATTTTTTTCAAAAAAAGTTGGTGAATTTTGTCGATAATGTTGAGTTTTATCAATATTTCTATGCTCTCTTGAAACGCCAGAAAGACCCGTTTTTGTCAAAGAAATCTACGCTGCAGGCAAAATTTTCATAAACTGTGTTTATTTTTTAAAAAACTTTAATCTTTTTCTTCGAGCTTGCTTTCCCCTCAAAATTGGAGTTTATATTTGCGACCAAGCCCTCATTAGAAAAAATTTAGGTTCGCTCGTCCAAGACATAAAATAATACCAAAAAACAAAAACTAAAAACAAAAATCTCATTGATGTCTTAGAATAGTACCATACAGTAGACAATCCCGCTCCTGATTATTCGATTTTCAATACCTATCAGGAGCATCAAAATATTACATATCACGAGAAATGTATAACAAAAAAATTTCTAGTTATTTCCGAATGCCGTTTGCCGTGTTTTTCGCTCTGCACGCTCTCATTGTTCCAACTTCCGAATAAAATGACGGAATAATTGTGCTTAGGGTGGTTTCTTTTCAGGAAACATTTTGCGACTTTTTAATTAGCCAGGTTTTGATGAAATTTTTTAACATCATTTTTTTTACATCATCTTACTAAAGTTTTTTATATCTGAAAAGTTTTTTTGAGGTTTTTTTTATATCTAAATAGAGGTTTATTTATATCTAAAAAGCATTGTTGTCGTGAGCTCAAATTTAAAAAGATTTTTCACCTGGGAGTTTTTTTGTAAAGTAATGAGGGTTAAGTTAAAAATTGGCAATATGACCAATTTGGGACAATTGACGCGCGATACATTTCGCGCTATTAATGAGTAGGAGGAGATTTAATCCGTCCAAGAAATTGATCCAAATTGGTAAATGCAGGCTATTTGTCATAATTGCTACGCTACTGGGAGCAAATTATATCATTTCGTAGTGGGGTGATAGTTTTTAAATCTCAACTTTTTTTTCAAATTGTTTGTTCACTTTTTTTTGGAAAATGCACCAAATACTTTTTTTTAAAGTAAACACTGCTCCATAGACCCTTAAAGGCAGTAGGAACACTCTGAGTTTTGACATGATACAAGCAGTCTTGTTATGATTACGTTTATCATATATATTTCATGCATCCGTAAAGAATGAGGCTATACGTGTCACCCTTTGAGGTCCGTGACTTATGTCCAGACTTCAAAAGTCGCACCACATATCTTTTATCGTATCAAGACCCAATTTACATTATGAGTTGGGAAAGTCTGAAAATTCAATCGCAGGATCTTGTTAACTATTTCCCCCTTTTTAAATTTTCAAAATATCAAATATGGCGGCCACATAGTTTGTTTTCAGAAAATACATATATATATATATATATATATAAATATTCAAAATGTTTTACGTGGGTATTATATAAATAGTGAGTGATACAAATACGAAAGCGCAAAAATAAAAACCCTCTTAATTGTTGACATTTTTGAAATGCATATTTTATACAGAAATGGTTCCCGTACCGAACGGACGCTGTGTTTCTAGATAGAAATTCTATGTAGATTATCTAGCCTAGTTTTCTCGTATTTTCCGTGCAAAAGTGATCTATTTCTTTTCTAGTTTAGAAACAAACATTTTCTGGAAAGAAATAACCAGAAATCAGTTCACTGTTCAACCGCAACGAGATAAACATGCTTCGAGCATACACAGTAGCAGGAGCGAATAGAATGCAAACTTACACTTGTTATAACATTGTTATTTTCCTAAAACTAGAGAACTGTTTTAAGGGATGTAGCCTTGTGGATACAGCAAATGTCTAGCAAGCAGAAGGTATGAGGTCGATCCCCAACAGAAGACTTATTTCCAGCTAAAAATAGCCTAGATTTAACTAATTTTTGATCAGAATAAGTATGAGAAATGAAGTAATTAAAGAAAATCTATGCTTTATTTAAACATTTCAAAAAGAATTTCTGACCAGAAATAAATTTAGATACAAAGTATTTCAGGTCAGAAATAAAGAATTTTCTCGGTTCGGGTTGTCAAAAATAATACATGCATAGGGGGAATAGTTAATAAGATCCCAATCGCGAAAGCCACAAACTTGATAGCAAAAATCAGGTCAAACGAAGTTTTGATCGCGAAAGTCTCGAAACATCCTCAATAACCTCTACAACTAAGCGCAGGTGAATTGTGCGAAGGCCGAAATGGGCGAATAACAAAATGTGGGTTTATTTTACTTCGGGATGTGACTCGACAAAATGAGTTCATTTTTGTTTAGACTCGCAATTGCTATCCAGCGTGAGTTCGGCATGTACAACTTCTCGCTCAAGTCGGGAATGGGTGAGTCATTTAATTCTATAGAATCGCTTTGAAGAGGGAATTTTTTTGTTCAACGCATGAGTGGATTTAAGTAATGTCAATTTTTTCTTAAGTCGACTGATTTGACGCCGTAACGACCCTATTTTGGCAAAACGTTCGGCGCCACAGGAAAATTTTGAAAGTGCGGCACTTTTTGGAAAGTTTTGACCAAAATATTGCGTTTTTGGCACGCCCGCCACCCACAAAATAAGTTATATTGAAGAAAGCGCCTTTCAGAAAAATTTTTAAGACCGGTTGGCCGAAAATTGGTGTCAAAAATAGTACCAAAAAGGGACCCTTTTCGTTGCTGAGGGGGTCGAATCGCTACGAGTTGAAAGCGGCGTTCCAAAAGTGTAGCCTATCAAATTTCTTGGAAAAATTCGTCAGCATCGGTTGCGTTTTGTTTTACAAAAAGATATAAATAATTATTTTGAACTTCCGATTTTTAAAGTTGAAATTGAATTTTGTAAAAATTTTAGCTTCAGCTACAAGTGAAATTATTTATATTACATCGAAATTAGTAACAGTTCAAAATTTGTTTGTTTTTCAGGTCGCCGAGATGATCCGAAAAAAATAAAAGCCATGGAATCAAAGAACATTCGATTGGATAAATGGTTAGAATTTTTAAACACTACTTTAGAACAGTAGCAAAACTAAATCAGGTTTATTTTAATTATTCACTTGATTAATTCTCCAGATTTTTTTGCGGCCCTTCTAATCTTCATGCGGTGGAAACGTATTTTTTTTTCTTTTCAGAGTAAATCAGAGAATACCAAAATGTGTCTATGCAGCCTTGCTTTGCCGATGTTCTAATTAAAATTTTAATTTTTAGTGACAATTTGCGCTTTTAAATAGAAAATTAATTCAATTAAATTGATTTAGCAATGCACCGCAACCAAACGGCCCAAAACAGTAAGAAACCGCCAAAAGCGGCATCAAATGAAGTTCTGTAATTATGTTATAAAGCCAGCATGCCTTAAAAATATATACGTAATATCGATTTTTTGGCAATAAAGTGAATAAATTTATTTTCAGTTTCTTCAATTACAGTTTGGGTCATTTCTGTTATGTGGTTCAAAAATCAAAACAAGACGTCTCGTATCAAGGTCAAACCTTGACTGTAAAAAGTGTGTGAAGTAGCGTTTGTTAACAACATGGATACCATTTTCAAAGAAAGGTCAAAATTGTCATACACATTTATCAATCAACCGTCTAGTAACGAAGTATATATGGGGCTTTGAAAACTGCCAATTTGGGACAATTACCGACTCAGAATAAGTTCTAAATGAATTGAGGTTAAGAAGGATCTTTTTTATATGCTACTCGAAGTTTACTAAATCACCTTGTACTTCGTGTTTTGTTTTTCGACAAAAAAAAATGTTTTCAATTTTTCAAATTTTTTTTGAAAATTTATCGCAATTTTTGATACAAAAGCTATTTTTAATAGGCGAAAGGCCAGCCATATTCGGGGTTTTGCCCTGATACGAGCTCTTGTTATTATTTCACACATTGACAAAATATGTTTGAATTTATTTTTTTTCAGCTCTCAAATACTTGAAATAGAACTTAAACGTTAGTCAATGCCCAATTCTCAAATCAGAAATTTAACCTTTGAATTTTTAGCGATACTCTCTCGGTTTGTGCGTAAGTGAATTATCCATCCTTCCCTTGTAAATCGATCCAAAAATTATCGGAAACTATTGATTGCAGAGTTGAATTGGCCATGTTTTTATTTTTGAAAGTTTCGGTCGGTTAATCGCGTTTTATGATTTCAACACAAGGCGCTTTTGATATCATCACGACATTGCTTCAAAATTTTTATCGTTGCACTGAAATTGAACCTCATAACAACAACTCACTAAAAAGAGGAGTGAAAATAAGTCACGCCAAGTGCACTGAGTCACTGTCGGGTGACATTCGTTTCATCCCCAAATCATTTCACCCTTTTTTTAGCCCAGAACCACCCCGCCCCCCAGTTTACCCGCCATTTTAGAAACCAAATCTAACAAACAAGACAGTTTTTACGTGTAATTTATATTTTCCTTAATTCTGAGGATTTTTTTTTAGATCTTATTAACAATCCCCATCAGGGGCGGTTTTAAGGCGGGGCCTGTGGGGGGGGGGGGGGGGGGGGAATTGGGAGTTTGACGCCTTTTCTTCCTCAGGGATTCGACCCCCTGCGGAACCAAAGAGTCCCCCCTTTGTACTGGTTTAAGATATCCATTTTTGGGGGACTAACCCTGAAATTTTTCTAAAGGCATTTTATACTAATATTGAAGGGGCGCGCGCGTCCAAAAAAACGCGATTTCTTGGTCAAAATTTTGTGGTCAAAAGTTTTTTTGGTCAAAATTTCTTGGTCAAAAGTTTGCCTACGGCGCATAAATTTTGGCCAAAACATGGTCTTTTTAGTGATTTGGGAGAGCTCGGAAAATCAAATTGGTCGACCTAAAAAAAATTGTCATTTTTTTTTTTAAAATCCAACCCCCCTTCGAGAAAATCCTAGATCCGCCACTGATCCCCCTATTTGAAAAAGGGAAAAACTCGTTACCGAGTTCAAATATTTGACTATGCTTAACTGCTTAAACTTTTCTGTATAAATTTAGCTAGTGCTATGTGGGCAAATTGTTAACAGAATCCCATTTTTGCCTCAAGGGTTGAAAAACTGCCACTTAAAAGAGGTTGCAGGGGCGGATCTAGGATTTTCTCGAGGGGGGGGGGGGAATTTTCAAAAAAAATTTCGAAAATTTTGTCGACCTTTTTTTTTAGGTCGACCGAATTGAATTTTGAGCTCTCGCTAAGCATGGTTTAGTCCCTTTTTTGGCAACATTTTCTGCGCCGCAGGCAAAAATTTGAAAAAAAACAGGCCAAAAAAGGCGTTTTTAGGCACTTTTTGGAAAATTTTGACCGAAAATTGCGTTTTTTCGGCGCGCGCTCCCCTCTCAAAAATAGAATATATTGGCGCCAAAGTCGCTTTTAGAAAATTTTTTGGGTCGGTTGGCCAAAAATGGATTTCTTAAAAAGTACCAAAGGGGGGACCCTTTGGGTCGGCAGGGGGTCGAATCCCTGAGGGGAAGGGGTCCGCAACCCCCTAAATCCGCCCCTGAGAGGTTGTCCAAAAAGTGGTATTGAAATGACATCGGGGTTGAACAGACAGGGGTGAAATGATTAAGCGCCCGACATTAATAAAACATACCCGCCAACTGTAAGCAACCGCTTCTTAAACAGCAGAACTAAAATTTAGACTCACGACGCTAGAGACTTTGAACTTCACTTACGATTCCCTTTATAGATACATAATTAGTCTCACCCACCGATAATGGGCAAATTTAGGCTTTTGGAACTTCTGCTAATCAACGAACTTGTTTACAGCACCACTCCATACTAAATTAAACTTGTCTTTTCGATTAAATATATATTACTGATTTTTTTTATAATGTATCGCTGCTATTGGGTTTTACATTTTGTGTTGTAATAATGAAAAAAGATATAAAATTCGGCAAATATTTTGCTTTTTAATTGGTTTTTAGAAATTATTTGTTAAGTATTGCTGCTATTGGATTACATTTACTGTTCTAATATTGCAGAAAACTTTCAATTTGGCCAATATTTTGGTTTAACAGTACTTGCTTTTAACTTTTGGTTACATACGAACTGATTCCATGCAGCGAAGTTTTATGCCAGATGACAGCTGCTGATTGGCTAGTGTTGCTCAATTTTGATTGGCTGGTTTCCTTTGTAGGGTATACTGTATGATGGACGAGGGTACCAGTAAAGAGATGAGTCAAATGCAGGCGGTCATCAACGAGATCAAGGATCCCATGCTTAACCGGGAACTCAAAGTCATCTGTACGTATTTTAACGATTATAGATAAGTTGATAATGTGTTGTTTGAAGCAAGGGCGGGTTTATTAATTGGAAAACCTTCGGTTCTTTTTTACGACATCCATTCTGGCCAACCAATGACCAAAAAAGGCTGATAAAAAGAATCTGAATAAAAGAAGGCAAAATCGACAGTAATAGTCAAATAGGGGTCTAGGACTAAATTCCCCAGGATAAAATCCCACCGGATATAATCCCCCAGGACTAAATCCCCCGTAGGACCAAATCCCCCGTGGGATTTAGTTCTGGGGGATTATATCCGGTGGAATTTTATCCTGGGGGATTTTATCCTGGGGGATTTAGTCCGCGAGCGGTCAAATAAATCAATTGGAAAACAGCTTTGGTAGGAAAATGGCAGCCGAAAAAAGAAAACGAAAAAAAAGTAAAAACAATTTAAACAGTTTTCAAAAATTTTTTCTCTTTTTTTGCTGAAGTTTTTTGATTTTTTGAAGTTTTTGATTCCCAAATTGGTGCTAAAAACAACTAAAACCAACTTTACTTGAGCAAAATTAAGTTTCCACATAAAAAGTCAAAAATTTTATACCGGTTTTTCTCGACACTGAGAAAACTTGTTCAGAACTTTAAAATCTCTTCGTATCATTACTGAAAGGGTTTTAATATGACATGTCACTCGACCTATTGCGATGACCAAAGTAGGTGATTTTGCGAGGAAAACAAGAAAAAAGAGAAAAAAACTAAAACAAACTTTTAATGTCAAAAACGTTTGAGACAAAGGAAGTTGGGAAAGAGTTTTGGTAATCATGTGCAAAATTCTTTGAATTGAAGCATTTTTTTTTGGTTTTTGAATGTAATATAAATCAAGGTAACCCTAAACAACTAGTTTTCAAGTTCAAATTGCTTTTGTACATATTTGATTACGGTAGCATCTAATGTAAAAGTTATTCCAAAAGGGACAAACATAGACTTATAAGGAGCATGAGAAGATGTATTCAAGTAAACAATTTCTACTAGAGAACATAAAATTGCTTCCCAAAAACTCTAACAAGTTCAAATTTTTGGTTGATCAACTTAACCAAGAGCCAAAAGCGATAAGTATAACACAAACCCGGTTGAATGTAAAAAACTACATTTTGGGTGTGAATCTTTATTTGATTTAATTTGACTGAAATGAAAGAGGAGGCAGAGTAGGTATATATGTCGGAGAAAGTGTCATTTTTGAAACACTTAGAAAAATAAAAAATAACAAAACCCAACTTCTGAGCATTTGAATACTTACAAAACTTTGTAGTAGCATCAGACTTTTGCGTGTTTGCGTGCTGCCAATTAGTCAAGCTTCATAAATATTTGGATAGTCCCATTAAGAATCCCCGCTCAAAACATGTGATACGCGTTTGAAGACTTTTGAATTAAAATTTGTCAACGTCGTGCAACCGATTGAAAAAAGTATCGCTCTTTTCTCTTGCAATCAAGTTGGTCAAACCTGATTATTTCGAAAAAAAATTTAAACCGTGTATATAATTTATCCCGAGCTTGAAATCTTAGATTGCTTCAAATTTCTGATTTTTTCAATTAAAAGAAAATTCTGTAGTTTACACAGTTGCACATGAAATTTTTTCCTATTCGTTAGTTTTGAGGGAAAAGTTTTTGTACATTTAATCAAAAATTAACAACTTAGCTCTAATTATTTCTAAATTTTGCTGAAATTGCTTTACACATTTCAACTAACACGGCAGGTGAAAAAAATTAATGTGATCGTTTTGCCCAGGACTTCTAATTTTTGTTTCGTTGCGCTTCCTAACTTTCTGGATTGTTCGTTTAGTTTTTAGTCATACCGGTATCCATTTTATCTCAAATGTCGTATTCAACCTCTATCATCGGACCTGTCCAATTTTGTTTTGGTGGGATCTCGAACATGTTTTAGTTCAACTGACGGTGCTTTCAGGCTCATTACATGCCTTCACATGGTTTTTACGTGCGAAAATGAGGAAGTAAGTAGTTTCAGACGTGAAAGTGAACCCTTTTAGTTTGATTGGTACGTCAGATTTGTTATCTGAAAAAAAATTGCCAACAATTTAGCTTTAACTACAAATAATTGGTGTTATTCATGTTTTCCATGCATTTTTTTCTGGCTAATTGATCCGATCAATTAAAAAATGGGATGAACTTTGTATTTGATGTCTTCTAGTTTTTTTCCACGCAACATTGGAGTGATTCGAGTGAGATTTCATATTAAAACCCTTCCAGTCGTGATTCAAACCGAATAAAAAAGTTTAAAAGTGGATTCCAGTGTCGAGAAAAACTGGTTTGAATGTTTTGAGATTCAGTCTTATTTCTATCGAGCACTGCAATCGACTAACGCTTGTTATATGCAAAGTTTTTTTTAAGGTTTGTAGGCTAAAAAAATCTTGATTTTACTATAATAAAGAACTAGTTTTTTTTTGTTTCAAAATGCGCTCAATTGGCAAAAAAAATTCATCAAAAAAATTGAAATTTTTGCAATCTGCTTTCCTTGTTAATTTTTGGAGTCTTTAGAAACTCATTTTAAGTTGAATTGCTCTCGAACAACAAAAGTTTTCAATTGTAGAAAAACACATGGCGCATAAAAGCGAGGTTGACTTTTGTAACATAAATTTATTTTTGTTTTAGGAACCCCCAGCGCAAAAAAAAATAAATGACTTATTGATCTAACTTAGATAGTTTTCTCCAGCAAAACTCTTCAATTAAAGATTCTGAAAGTTATTGATCTAACTAAGATAGTTTTTTCCAGTAAAATTCTTCCAAAAAGATTCTTCTTCTCGATATTTGAAACTCAAAAGTTCATAAACGTTTTCCAACAGTCTAGATAATTTATTAGTCAAGGTTAAGGGAAATTTTACCCAAGATTTCACCATCATTTCCTACCAAACAAAGTATTTTTTGCATAGAGGCACCGAAGTGTGAACTTGGTTTTCAAAGATAATTCCGCCGCTTTGATTTTTGAAGCTTTTATGAAGCTTTTATATCTTCTGAAGAGCCAACCTTCGTGGTCTACTGCGCTCGCTGCATCTTTCATTTGTATATTTTGAAGTCAAAATGTCAAAACATTGGTCAATTTGGACAGAAAAAAGTCATGCCTTTGAATGATTCCCTTGCGACATTTTGATAGCAAATTTGTTGCTTTTATGCAATCAAAACAACTCACTCAAAACAATTTGGGTTTAAAATTTTGAGTCAAATAAGGCTCCATAAAGTTTTGTAGTTAAAGTTGATATTTTCAGTAAATTTTTGCTTAACAATAAAAAAAAAACCCTAACTCAAATACACGTTTTTAAAATTTGTGTGAGGATTTAAGATGCTAGACAAAAAATAACTTTTGATAGACAATGATGATGTTTTCAGGCAACACGAATGCGGTGAATGCAGTGATAGAAGACGCAGTGGTGACTCAGGAGTTCGCAGACTCATTCTGGAGAGACCGAGAAGGCGACCATGTGTGAGTAGTCAAACTAACAAAACCGTTTTTTCTCAGGTGTTTTTTTTTCAAAAGAATGTTTAACTTTTTCTCAAAAGAAGGTTCAATTTAACTGTTTCCAGTTGCAAATAATGCACTCTGGCTGCAGATAGTTTTGGAGGGTTTTGCATGTTAGCAGCATCTGATGTTCGTAGGATACTTTCTATAGATCTTGTTAAGTTTTTCCCCCTCTATCACATTGGGGATTCGTTAAGGTACAAATTTCACATATATGCTTAACTGTTGATTTAGTTTGTTTTAGGAGTGGCAATTCTGTACTAAGTACCATAGGGGGGGGGGGGGTAGTTAATTAGATCCTTGTTTTTACTAAAGATGTTTTTTTTTGTTCAGAGCCATGGGTGTTCAAGAAGTGTTTGTGGGGACGCGGAGTGGATTTCTACGCTTCAAACAAATAGGCCAGAAGAAAACGTGAGTGGCATTCATCATAGCTCAGAATAATTAATAGTTCCGTTAGTTTTCAATAGAGTTTCTGCGTTTTTATTTACATACTTGTGTCTGTTATTTTGACAGTCGCGTGTGTCCAATAATTGTTTTTTTTTCTGAATTTTTCCTTTCCAAATACTATCTTTGAAAAAAGATAGGCAAAAAAAGTTGTTTTTGATGTAAGACTGCACAGTAAACGTTAATACTTAAAGAAAGATTTTGTAAATTTAAATTGTATGCCTATTTACTTTCAAGAGTCCGGTGAGTCTAACCTCATGTAGTAAATTCAGATTCATCAATTTCACGAAAACTGAAAAGCGCTGGCTGAACCTTTTTTAATCTTTTTATTGGATTATTTTTGTTGCTCTGAATGAAAAGTTATTATTTCAAGAAAAAGTGTCAAAACACAGGTTTTCACTGAAAAATTGCAATTTCAGCTTTTTTCGTCAATGCAAGAAATTCATGCTTTTAGTTGTAGCCAACTGTCAATTATGTCAAATTATTCATCCGGTGTCATCATCTATATTAAACTAAGATTTGATCTAGCAATTATGGGCCAATTTCAGAGATGCTGTCTACTCAAAGATCCTCAAGTAAGTTGTTTTTGTCGTCGTAACGTTTAAATGTGTGTCTTTTTGTATCGAGATTAACCTTTTTTCACTTATGCAGGCAAACTACAAATAAGTTGTTTACTAATCTTAGTGCTTTATTATGTCTCTAATTTCAACGCGCTTTTCACGCTAAAAAAATCTGAGACGTATTTGTATTAGGACAAGTTTTTGGGTCAACCTTTTGCATCTCAATTTATTCATCACCCTACTCTATGAGTTTAAAAGCGGAGTTCCAGAACGTTCAATTTAAGATCGCGGAACTATTTGCAAAAAAAAATTAGTGGTTCTGTTCTATGCTTTAATCGGTTCCCTTTAATGATAGTTGGGTCCCTAGAAAACAAAATTTTGAAAAAATTGGACTTTCCTAGTTGCAACGCGGACTCCCCCCTCAAAGATAGTATATTTTGGCGCAAAAGCTGCTTTTAGAAAAATTTTAAGGTCGGTCGACCAAAAATGGATGCCTCAAAATAGTACAAAAGGGGATTCTTTGAATCGGCAGGGAGTCGAATCCCTGAGTAGGGGGGGGGGGGGGGGTGGCGTCCAACCCAACTCAAGCAGTTGAAGACCAGCTGGCGCCAAACTTTCTGCGGCGAGGTAAAATTTTGCAAAGTTTGTCCAAAAATATTTTAAAATTTTTTTAACTAAGATAATTAGCATATTTTAAATCCAAAGGTGACTTTAGAAACTTGAAGGGTGGTCAGCCAAAATTGGATGTCGTAAAACAAAACAGCACCAGGGGATGGCGAGAGTGTCGAATTTATATACGAGAAAAGCGTCTGCCCCCCCCCCCCCCCCCACCATTATCGCATCTTTCCAACCTCTTCCTCCGTTACTGCTTCGATCATTAACATAATAGTCACATGACACAAATTAGATTTCATTCGGGACCCTTCTATGTTTTAGAGGCACATCAAGATAATATTTACTGTAAAAGAGTTGTTTAAGGCTGCAACATGCTTTGGTATCTTTGTATGGTCTGCTTGATAATGTGGGACTAGCTTAGCACATTTTATGTTTTAACCTCTCATAACACAACTCAAAGGTAAAACTCTCTGAAACCAAGAAAGGCAACAAAGTTTGAATGAACCTGTCTTTAAGCAGATCCCTTGACCAACCAACACCAGCATGTCGATTAACATGCCTCAAGTAAAACTTTTCCTTTATTTTGATCACGTTTTCATATAAAAAGACTTATTTAGCTGGTGTGCAGTTTTGTGAAACACATTTCTGAAAAAAAAGCTGAAATTTGATCACGCTCAATTGCTGTTATGATCGCAGTTTAAAATTTTATTTTATAGGGGTCCCAATTTTTGCTATCTAGTAATTCTTCAAATTAGCTTCTAAAGTGATTTTTTTCAAGCCATCAAAGGGAAACATTTCATTAGGATAACTTTTTCTTGAGTTCGGTGAATTTTAACCAAAAAATAGACATCTTTAAAATGACCGATGGTAACGAACGATCCTCCTGCTCTCAATAGATAAAGTCTCAGCTATCACCAGCCCAAAGTTAATTTAAATTGATATTGTTTTTTTTTCGAATATCGAAATAGGGTCGAGAAGAATGTTAGCAGATTAAATAAGAAGGTGTTATAAGACCAATTATGCACGGGGGAAAGGACCAACACAAGAGCTGTATAGCTCATCACGGCGAACCGCTGTTGTGCCCCTGTTTAAGAACTACATGCAATGTTTTTGGTTATTTTTCTGGACTGGGTAATGTTGGTTCATCGTCAAGCAACGAGCACGGATCATGGTAGGTCTCGAACATCCGACCTTTCGATTGAGAGGTGGAGACGTAACGACTTCACCACCTTTTCTAAAATAAATGAAAAAGTTTTTTTTTCGGTTAAAACCCGCAAATGGTGAAAAACGAAAATGAAAAGTTGTACAACAAAATTGGATAGCTAATTATCTTAAAAGGCAAGATTGTAATACGAGACAAGTCGAAACAAATCAGTTCACTCATTTAAACCTCAAAATAGTTCTTATGTCTAACTTTTTCCGTTTTTTCTACAAAAAATCATAAATAAGAGCTCAAAAACGTTTTGGATTTATTTCAACGCTCAAGAGATCAGCCTAGCGCATTCCTAATTAAATTTTATCCAATTATCTAATAAATTTACTCATTTTAAGTTAGAAATTATACTTCAATTTTTTGAGAAGTAAAGCGAAGACAGTTTTGAGACAAGAGAAAAAAATTCAATTTTGAGTTAAATGAGCAACCGTGAACGGAATCCCAAAGTTTCCCGATTAGGTTTGAGAACAAACAGTGGTTTTTGACTGGTTCATTGATGAGAAACTTCGTTGGTTGACCAAGAGAACCATAGCCTATAAACTTGATTGGAGGAGATTGTTCGTACCAAGTCAATGATCTCTCCTCCTTAATCCGATAAAGTTCACCTGGTTACTGGAACAAATTGTCTAAATGGCAGCTGTAGAATTGGTAATTCTACTGTAAATTCGACTAACTGCGACGTCACCGTAGAGAAAACATTACCTAGCGTTTATAGAGATTTATAATTGTAGGCCCAGCCGCCGATATTATAATGGCCCAGACTAATGGTTACTAGCCTCCGGTGACTGAACGAAGACAATCAATATTAAGACAAAGCTCAGGTGTTAACTTCATTATCGGTACTTTGAAAAAAAAAAACAAAGTTTATGTATTTATATACATGTAGCAAAATCCGCGACCCTCTTAAGCTCTAATAAGGAGCTGCAAGCAGTCGGTTCACTAGGAGGCAACACCGTTCCGAGATCTTGGAAAATATACCCGTTTTACATGTATCAAGATAAGCTATAGAAAAAAATAGAGAGTTCAAATATGGAAAAAAATTATCGTCATCGTCCTCCAGAACCCTAATAATGAGCCTGCAGGAAGTCGGTCAACTAGGTGGCAACAACTTCCCGAGATCTTGGAAAATCCATCAGTTGCCCACGCATTAAGATAGGTAATAACAAAATCAAGACCTTTCCGTCAGCATGAAGGCTGAATCCCAAAATTTTCACCACCGAGCATGTTCATAGCACCAATGAGGCATTTGTATAGGAAACCAATAGTTCTTGAGATCTCAAAAATTCCATCTGTTGCCCATGTATTAAGATAAGCTATAGAAATGTTTTAAAAACCACGAGACGTATTTTAGAAGACCACGAGATAAGAACATATTGATAAACAGCGCTAACAAATGCCCTAAGTAAATAGTCCCCATCACAGACTTCCGGAGTTTGTTTCTCGGCCCCCGCTGAACGGAGGGAGCCAAAAGTTTAGAAAAAGCTAGATAATGGTAAGATACATCGTATGTTATTGTTTCAACCAAATCTGACGGTTATGCTGAAAGTTATCAGCACTTGGAGATAATACCCCTTAGACTCCAATTTACGCAAGATAGTGAGCGAGAGCATTTTGATTTTATGGCGGCAAGGAAACTAAAACCCAGCTCCAAGCAAGGAACCCAGTGAACTGAACCCCTTCGACGACCCTTTCCGGTGTTAATGGCGCTCCTACGGCAAAAGTGATATGGACCTTAGAAATGGGATAACTTGGGAAGTATTTTGAAAATGGATGAAACTTGAGTAGGAAGGTATGAGATTCTGATCCCGAGTAGAGAAGAATGACCGTAAGTGACCAAGGGGTAACCTTTAAATGAACTTTGGGGGTTGATGACCAAAAACGCATAGAAGAATCGAGGTTAACACCGGAAACAGGCGCATTTAAGGGCCCCAACTCTTGGAATTGGAATTGGTCACTTGAGTACACTTGGGAGAGAGCTTATCTATTGGGAACTGAAGTAGAAGCTGAAAAGGATATAGCTTTTGCCTGGTAACATTAAAGTAGTGGACTAATCAAAGCGGACTTGTCAAACATTGGGCTCAATTTAGCTTGGCGATTGAACTGTTAATAGAAACTCAATCAGACTTAAGAAAAGTAGTCCCAGAGGAAAAATAATTGCAACATGGCAACTAGGTCTTGTAAAAATATAAAAGGACGGGATAATTACTTAACTCCGCGGAGGTGACTTTTTGGCACAGTTTGACACCTAAAAAACCAATTAATTTTCATAACAACTCGAAAGTCGGGATTGGAATAGAGTATAGCCGGGAATTTTTGATGCTTGAAAGGAGCAAGCTACCCATGAAAAGGGTCTTTCCTTACCACTGGGAGATCGAAACGTAAGCAGAGTAGTTTGAAAAGTCCAGGGAGACTGGTTGATTAAGTATAGATCGGTTTAGAGGTGGAAGTGGACTTTATATTTGCAAAACTTAGTTGCAGATATCTATGTTGAAATTGGCCTTCATTCGTAACTAGTGATGTCAGGGGAAAATTTTGGTTCAGACCTTGCGCAAGGTTACCAAAGTAAAGGTCAGGACTTGTAGGGACGATGATAACTATAACTGTTACAAACATAGCGAAAAAGTTACGGATAGCCCATTCTTAGGCAGAACAAAATTAGCTACCAGTGAGAGTAGTTGGGTTCTCATTGTTACTTAGAGAACAATTGTGCTGTGAGAGCAAATGGAGGTTCACAGAGTCAGTAAGAGAACAAAATTAGCTACTATTGAGAGTAGTTGGGTTCTCAGAGTTAATTAGAGAACAGTTCAACACTTGTGAGGATACAGATTCTCCCTGGGCGTGGAATCATCAAGATAGTGACTTCTCAACAGTGAGAGATAGTTAGTTTAGTTAATGAGGATAACAAGAGTGCAGAGAGACAGTTAGTTATCACAAGAAGTTGAATTGCAATCAGGAAATTGTGTCTAATGATCGCGGACCGTTTCTTTTTGAGTAGATTGTTAGATTATATTCTGGCCACTCAGAGCCTTCTTCTTTTGGACTTATATTTATCTGAATTTAACCAGAATTAAATATTTCTGCGACGTGGTTGCAAGCGATACAGCCACAAGAGCATTGACATAAGGAGGCAATCATCAAAGCACAGTACAGAATAGTTGCAAGCAACTTAACCCTTCCGGAATTGTGGATAGTAGAGAACCTCGGTCGCCCCACTGAACTCACAACACAAGCAACCACTTTGCGGAGAAAAAGAGAGAGAGAGAGAGAAAGAGAGAGAGAGAGAGAGAGAACGAACCTATAGCACCAATCTCTTGAAATCTACAGCAACCGATCAAAAAGTGTAGTTTTTCGCGAAGCGGAACGTGAAAATTTTGGAAAATGAATCAGATTTTCCTTTAAATTATTATTCGTTAGGCCGAATATAAATTTTCTGCATTTGCTTCAATGCATTTTTTGAAACTAATTTTGCCACAATTTTGATCAAATACATAAACAAACTGTCAAATAGAGTTTATTTGGCTTGATTTTCTGTCGACCTACATAAGTATTTTAAACAAAAATCAAATTTATTCTGAATTGTAAAGTTTCAATTAAAGGTTTAGATTTTTCAGATAGAAATAGATCACTTGATCTATTCGAGGAAAAGTGGGGGCGGGCATTGATTTTTCGTTCAAGCCGGTTGTTCAAGTGGTGCTCTTTTGAAGTTATCGAAATGCAAAGAAACGTACCTTCAAATTTTCGGTAGCCTAAAATTTTGAAAAAACAAAATGTCTTTGGTTGTCTTACTAAAAATAGGTGTAATCTAAGTTTTGACATGTAGATAATCTATCTTTTTTTATGCTTGAACTCTACCCTTTTGCAGTGTAGTGCGAACCTTTTTCTTTTAGGTCGGCTATTTTGAGTTCCCTTTTTATTCGAAAACATTAAGGACCCTATTTTTTCAAAAATTTTCTGCGCCATAGCCAAATTTTTCAAAAAACAGGCCAAATAAGGCGTTTGTAAGCTCTTTTTTGAAAGTTTTCATCAAAAAACTGCGTTTTTTTGGCGGGGTCTCCCCCCTGAAACTAAGTAATATTGGCGCCCAAGGTGCCTTTAAAAAGAACTTTAAGGCTAGTTAGTCAAAAATGGTTGTCGTAAAATTATACCAAAGAGGGGACCCTTTGGAAAAATTTGGCCACCAGAATTGAGGGGGATGGCGGTCACCCCCTTCCCTCGGCACGCTACTGCCCTTTGCTATATGTTGTGATATGTCGCTGACTTTTGAAGTTTACAGAGAAGTCCACAAATGATCTCAACAAACAATCCGTGAAAAAAAAAAACAACTAAGCAAAACTTCGCGCTACTATAGGAAAAAAGCTATATTGGATAAGTAAATATCGTTTTCTTGAAAGTTTACTTGACCAAAAACATAATTTCATCCAGTTGACCAACAACTAAATTGCATGAGACATGAACATATCAGAGTATTTGTTTAAAAAAAAACGGACAGGCTGGTTGTGAAAACCGCATGTTCGCGCGTTGCCCGCCCTGGAATGAGTATTTTGGTCGCAAAGGCTTGAAATGCCAATTTTTGGTCGCCTCAATCTGGTCGTTAAAAGTATAGTTCTATCCATTTTCCATATCCGAGACATTTTTTGATCGCGAAAGTCTGGATATGGTATTTTTTGCTTTCGGATATGGTATTTTTCGAACCTCTGTTCATATCCGGTTGCACCATGTCCGCCCTGCTCGCAAAAATTCTGCCATTTTTGATGGTGAAACTATAACTTATGCTTTTCAAATTGTGTTCAAACTTCCCAGTCTGCAGCAAAATCTCAGCAATAATCTGCCGTAAAAACTTAAAAATTTTACTCGCTTTCCTGATTTTTTGCTTGGTTTGAAGTTGAGGCTTAAGCAAATTTAATCAAATTTCCAATGCTGATGCCAATTGGATTTATTCTCTAGAGCCTCACTTTGCCGCACACTTCAAAGCGCACACCTGCAGCAATAGGTTTGTTTGATTGGGTGCTTGGGTGTGGCATCTCGACTCTCGACATTTTAGCCAACCAAACGCAATACAAAATCTTCTTTTCGGAGTCTACACATATATTCCGGGGGCTATTCTCATGCGCAAAGGACCGAATGCGCGAAAAAACTCGTGAGCGAATGACTGAAAATAAAATTAGCCGAGAGTCAAATTTTAAAGAGAAGCATTTGCCATATTACACTCGAAATATAAAATTTGTTCCAATTCGGCGGCGTCAGTGACAATTTGGAAATTTTGCAAATTTCTGCCGTTTTTATATTCGGCCAATATTAATACTCATTTCCTAAAAACTTTTACTTTCTTTCCAAGTTTTAGATTGCTGAAATCTGATTGGCTGATTTTTGTTTTCGCGCATTCGGTCCTTCGCGTATGAGGGATTCCACCATATATTCCGGGTCTATAAACTTCAAATTTCAAGAAAAATAATAAAAGCGTGCTTTAATCTATTATATAAAAGCTTGATCGTAGTTTTTGGAATGTACCGAAAAGTGAATGTGACTCCGTTTCGCCCCTCACGTATTTCGCCCTAAGATGTATTAAACAAAGTGCCGTAATAAATTTAGGGCAAAATGTGACTTTAACTTTAAGAAGGACGAAACGTGCCACATTCTCTTTTAAGTTACCATTCGATTTTCGATGACCATAAAACACGTTTTTTTTTTCAATTTTCTTACGCTTAAAGTTTTTAAACTTGGGGTTATTTTGGAAAAGTTGACTTCTAAATAGCTATTCCTAACTAACTAATATAGCCGATTGCTGTGCTTGTAACACATTAAGATCTGACAAAAGCAATCGCGATGCTAACAAACAAACTTTAAAAACAAATTTTCTGCTCAAATTTTTTCTACTAATTTTGTGCAAGGAGCTAGAAAATCAAGAGTTGTAATACAAGGACAAAAAGCGCTTGAATATGATATATCACTTGCCTCTGTATACATTTTTTTACTGTGGGTTCTTTTCCACGAGTATTTTTGCAATAATTTCAAGTTGTTTCGAATAAATTTAGCGGAATTTAATTGTTGCTGAAATGTCGGGACGTGCATTTGATTGCAGTAGTGGTATTTGGGGTTCCACCGTTTTCTAATTCTCCTTGCTGCCGAACTCTTCAAATCATATTCTCATTTATTAGATTTTTTTCTGTTTCGATCCAGGGTTCTGGCGGAGGAGGAGTCTACACTTGGTGCCGAGTTCTTCCAGATGGCATCTTCGATTTATTCCCTCATGAACAGAAGTGGAGCTCTTGTTATATGGATTCCCACTACTAGAGATATATACGACGGTAGGGATCCTTCAAGTCTCGATGATTTTACAGTAGTAATGTATTTGAACTCTAAAACATGAATTTTGCATCGTGAAACGGGTTTTGCTTAGCATGTTTACAACACTTTGCACCTTTGACGATCCGGCATTTTTCTCCTTTGATCAATTATCACATTGATTAAAGAGTTTCTTGACTGATAATGTTTGAAAGCGCATGAAAAATTTGTTTGCTTCGTGAATTCGAATATAAATGGAAGTTTATATAGCTTAGAGAAGATGACAAAAATTGGCATGTTTAGAGCCAAATTTAACCGGTAAGTTGCTGAAACCGATTGAATGCTTTTATACTGGGTAACTGAGATCATTAACTCTTCATTAATGAAAATGGTTGTTTTTCTTCTGAATTACATTGTTAAAAAACTTAAAAAATAGTTTGAACTTTTTTGTATCCACTAAGGTATTATTGTACACCGAGGCATAAAAGTTCCTGAATTGACAAATTGGGAATTCTTAAGGCTCCAGAAAATTATTACAGATTAAAAAAACCTCTGATTTATCAAAGTCAACTGATAACTTTCAGATAGTGTGAAAGATTCTGCTAAAATTGATTAAGTAAATGGTCTTAAAACTGGTACAACTAGAATATCCAGATGCTGTGGTTGCCCGGGTTAACAAAATATGCTTATCATACAATTCCAAGCTATAGAAAAATTAATTATCATACGAATCCATACAATTCCATAGAATAAAAATATTGTATGAAAATTACATGATAACCATTTTTTCCATACAATGGAAATGTATGATAGGCATTTTTTCCATTCAATGGAATTGTATGATAGGCATTTTTTCCATTCAACGGAATTGTATGATAATCATTTTTTCCATTCGATGGAATCATATGATAAAAAAGTTTTACGGACGAATTTTGCATAAAACTCAGTTTCTGATTGAGCAAAACAAACAAATTAAAGAGGCAAAAACTAAGTCTTAGCCCAGCCCAACGTGACAGTCCCTCAACAGAAGATACAAAATACAGAAAACTTTAGAGGTTTGAAACTCTGTTACTGTGTTTCCTGTAAGTTTCTCTCCTCAAATTCGAGACTGCAGAGAGTTGTTTTTAGTGGGAACCAACACCAGGGGAAGGGTTACCTCATACTAAAAATTACTGAAAATTTTTGTGAGAAAAAATAAAAAAACATTATATTAGTATCAAAAAAATAAGCTTCATTCGTTCAAAACTGTTTATTTGTTTCTCTTTTCCTACCTCCTGTCAATAAGTTGTTTCCTCAATACTCAATTAAAAAATAGATAGTACTAGGTTAATGTAGTAAGTCCAACTCTAATTGGCCTTCATGAAGATTTTTTTAAAAACTGCTATTTTAGAAGTTATTATTTGATTGTTTGTTAGAACTTATCCGTACGCCATTCGGTAAAAAAATGGACGAAAGAAATGGGCGAAAGAAATTAAACGGTAAGTCTTTGAAATCAAATAAAAATGTGTTCATGCAGGTTCTTTGGAATCATTAGATCTCGATTGATGAAAATTTCTACTCCTTGTTTAAAAACAAAAATTCAAAAACGGATTAGAAATTTATTGTTCCAACTTTCGAGGATAGTGACTGAGTGTTTGTGCTCGGGTTGTTTTTTTTCCAGACAATTTTTCGGCTTTTCAAATAGTAAATTTTGACAATTGTTTTTATGCACCCAAAATGTGTCATTCAAAAACATATGAACGCAAAGCTCAAAATTAAAAAAAATTTCACCTGTGATTTTTTAAGGTTATGTCGCCTAAAGGTTGCGAATTTGGCCAATTAACGCGCGATATATTTCGTTCTACTAACGCGTAACTCGAAATTTATTCCGTCTTAGAAATCAATCCAAAATGAATTAGGTATGCTATTTGTTTTTTTTTTATACTTTGAAAAGAGCGTATTTACATTGGACGTTGAAGAAAACTTTTTTCATTTTATTTCAAACTTTTGTCCTTTTTCTTAAAGCGAACGCTATAGGCCTTAAAAGGTTATCAAAGTTTCCAGGGCTTTGCTCTGATACGAGCAGTCTTATTCGTTTTTCATTTTTTCTGCTACTGTAACATTCAACACATTCGAAGCACAGTTTCCCACTACAGCCATGATAATGACTTTTTTAAGGCCTATAGATTAGCGTTCGCTGTTTAGCATTTTCAAAAACGTCAACTAGAAAAAAAAGGTAAAAATTTCAAAAAACAAATTAAAAAGAAATGATCTTTTTGAAATTTTTTGAAATGCCTTTGTAACACCGAACATTTTGTGTTTTGCGGCAATTTAATTTGAAAAAGTTTACGAGCAGATTATATAGTCATTTAAGCGTTAATAGCACAAAAAATCTCATGCTTTAATTGTCCCAAATTTGTCAAAATGGTAACTTTTAAACCCCCGTAACTCTTCGAAAAAATGTTGCAGGTAAATTATCTTTCAAAATTTGCTTCTTCAAAAGTCGAAATTGGCCTGGAGAAACAAAACCACCTCGAGCACACTTACTCCGTCACTTTCTTCGTAAGTTGAAACAAATCTCATTTAATTGTAAAACAAGTTGTTTTAGGATGTTTAACCGTGTTTATTATATGGCGATATTGTTTTGCTATGGGTTTATACAACTGTCTAGTTTGTGAGTAATATTTCGAAAGAAGTATTTGTTTTTAGACCAACACCAGTTATATGAAAAATTTTTGCCCTGTCATGGTTCTTTTCATATTTATCATCAAACACATTTGTTGTAAAGATGAATTCAAATAAAATAAATCAGACTCAAAAAATGCTTGTCAAACAATTTCATAATTTGAGAAACATCAACTGGTGACCAAGAATTACAATTACTTGGTTGCAATTACACAAAATTTTTTATTTTTCGATTAGTGCCTTTTAGCTGTATTTATGTTTCAGAAATTTTAAGTTAGTTTGAAACCAGTTGAGTGAATAAGTAAGCAAAATAGTTAGCAGGAAGTGATAACCCATTGCTGGAGATCGCATTTGAATTGATAGAACAGTTTTTGATTGAACAGATATGCTTTTTCTGGCTAAAAAAATTATGCCAATGAAACTTAAACAAAATTACTCGTATATCGGTGCAAAACCCTGAATGTACTGAACAGTTTTTTGAAAAGTTTTTTTTGTGGTTTAAAACAACATACATTTTGGATATCATGAAACATCAAATGTGAAAATTTGAGCCACACAAAATTAAAATGCGATCAATTAACTTGCTTCAATTGATTGTGGAATGGTTTTGTAGTGCGAGATAGTTCGACACACTTGGATTATTTGCGTTACATTTTCAGCGTCATACATCAAAATTTCAAAGCAAGCTAATAATATTCCCGAACATGGTCGAAATTGCAAATTTCGAAGCAGAACTTCAAAAAAATTAATCGGATTTCAAAATATCTTTATAGATTTGAACTCAAGGAGCCGATATTTTCATTGGGGTCTTTTTTTGTTAAATATAACTATATTTTACTTGCAGGGTTTTGATGGATTTAAATCACCCTAGAATATGTTCAACTTTTCTTGGTCGTCAATTTTAATCAAAACTAAAGCCATGATATTTTGCCAACTAGGTGCAATTAATTGCTGATAGTTGACAAAATTGGAAAAACCAATTCACTCATGGCAAATTTTCAAGTAACTGAAATTTTACTTGCAATTTACATAAAATATCTTTTACATATTCTTTACTTCATAAAAAACTGATGAAATTTTTTTTACTCATACTAAAAAAGTACATGATTTGAATTGTTTGGTTATATGAAATTTCTGACAAGCATTTCTCTATTGGCTATCAGTTTGCAGATTTTTTGTTTCTTGATTTATCTTTAATCAAATTTGCGTTTGTTTTCAAACGCAGTAGCTGTGAGTGATATGGAACCACATATAATATGGGTAATGGTGAATATTATGGGTAAGTCAGAACCAAGTTGAAAAAATCATAGAATTTGTATTGTGAGCAGGAGTGGATCTAGGATTTTATCGAGCTTCTTTTCATCGACCTTTTTTCGATCCTTTTTAGGTCGACCAAATTGATTTTCTGAGCTCTCTCAAATCACTATAAAGACCCTATTTTGACCAAATTTCCTGCGCCGCAGAGATTTTTTTAAGAAAACAGGCCGCAAAAGGCGTTTTAGGCACTTTTTGAAGAATTTTGAACAAAAGTTGCGTTTTTTTTGGCGCGCGCTCCCCTCTCAAAATTAGCACCTTTCCGAGCAGTTAAAGAAATCCAAGCAGTTGAAGAAATCCTCTAAATCCGCTGGTGATTGTGAGAACATGTCTTGAACTGAGAATTAGCTCTGAAAACTATTTAATATCTTACAATTGTTGCAAAAGTATCTGTTGTATTTTTTGAAGGAGTTCTCAAAACTTAATTTTTCGACAAAAGTTTATAATTTTCCAAAAAGATCATAGAATGGGAATATTATGGCTAGCATTTGTCATAAACAAAATGTATGGAATGAATCGGATGAATAGCATTTTCGATGTACAGTGGTCAGAGGCGGATTTACACCTTCCTTCCTCCCTCAGGGTTTCGTCCCCTGCCGACCCCAAGGTGCAGAAAATTTGGCCTTGGCCTGGTGCAGAAAATTTGGCCAAAAGAGGGCCTTTTTAGTGCTTTGGGAGCGCTCGGAAAATCAATTTGGTCAAACTTTTTTTGAAAATCCGCCCATACCCCCAACGCTGAGAAAATCCTAGATCCGCCCCTGACCTTGTGTCCGGACAGCAACAGGAACGCGGAATTGCAAAAGTGCATCAAATATCTGGTATTACGTTTTTTTTTGTGGATGGAATTGTCGGTTGGAAATGGCTAACAGATTCATATAAAATAAAAATAGTGTCCTGATTAGCTAATTGTTTTGACTACAATCAGTATATTTGAAATCAGTAAGTTAAGGACCCTACCAACTGGAATTATGATCGACAATGATTTTAAAGTAATAAATTTTGCAAAAAAAAAACGTTTTTTTTCTCAATTTAAATCTATTCTATCCAGAATTTCTGTCTCGTTCTTGTCTTAAGCTCTTTGTAAAACAGAATGAAGCCATTTTTTAATGAAAAACTAATTGATAAAAACACAGCTATTGCTTTTTTGTATCAAACAAAAGCTTGAAAAATGTGTTGAAAAGCTTGTTTCAAAAAAAATTAACTCGATATTTTTTTCAGTTGCCAAAAAGCATCAAGGAGTGATGGCAGTTGCGAGACTGGTCTTCGCCGGACACACCCCGGACAAACAGAACCCATACTCATCTGCTCAATCGGGAGGAGGGTCATACAACAGCAACAACTTCTATAATGACAGAGACCAGTATTCCAATTCATGGAACAGGGACTCAAAGTCAGACACCCAGTTCGAGTCTCAGGTAGAGCCCCATATCATTAAGTTACAAAGCAGCATTTCATTGTTCCAACTACTTGACGAAGTAACAGGGGAGTAAATATTGCCATGTCTTGGGTGTTCAAAAAACTCTTATGGCATCGAATGTATGCCTTAGAAGTCCTTTTCGCCCGAAACCTAGAAAAAATTCAGAAAAATAAATTCAACGTTGAGAAAAACTGGTCTGAATTTTGGCTATTTAGTCGCAAAATTATCTAATAGCGGAGTCATTCAACGTGAGAATAAGTCTTGATTGAGGGTAAGAACCACTTATTTCAAGTAAAGGCTATCATAACCTACAGGTCAATTATTTCACTTCACGCATATAGTTGTTCTTGTTTTACTCATACGTAAGATTTCAAAAAAATTAATTTCTAAAAATTTAAGAAAAAATTTCTAATTTTCAGTTGAAAATTTTTAACATCTTGCCGAAGCCCTGAATGATCCGACGACTGCTGTTTAATGTCAAACGAGTAATGTTTGCTTGGAAATCGTATGTTTTCTTTTGACTTTTTGAAACAGCCAAAGGCGGATCTAGGATTTTCTCAAAGGGGGGGGGGGGGGGATTTTCAAAAAAAATCCAAAAATTTTGTCGACTTTTTCTAGATCGACCAATTGGATTTGCAGAGCACTCCCAGATAACTATAAAGACCCTGATATAAAAGATAATTTTTAGGAGTCGCAGAGTCTGTTTGATCCCTCTAAGTTCAACTACTACAACAAAAGACAGCGACGCAGTTCCTCGTCATCGTCATCCGAGGGGAACAACGCTAGCAAAAGCACAGAAGGCGAGGGATTGAGAAAGAAAATTGAGGAGATTTTTCTGGACTCGTCGCTTTATGAGAAGTTTGACAATGGGACTTATCCCGAAATAGACCCGAGTAGCTTTTACTACCCTGAACACGAGAAGAACCCGAGGGCATTAGTTGGAGGTGAACTATGATTTCACACTTGGTGAAAATAGATTTAAGATTAATTCTTGCTTGCGTGAAATCTTTCCTAAGATTTTCGTGGCCTGTACGTTTTAATACTTTGCGCAACATCGCCTCCTCAGCTCATTACAGTAGTAAAAGAGATGAAGTAAATTTTTCTAAGATTTTTCAGCGAACTTGCCGCTGAGGAAGTAACCGTGCTGAAAACTATTATTCTGTGGAAATTTTCTGAAGATTTCGAAAAAAAACCAAAAATAATTAGTCATGCGTGACTTCATTGATTTGATCATCATAAACTACAACGAGTAACTAACCCAGCGAGTAATTGACCATAACAAGCTATGTTTGAACTTAAACTTAAGCGCTGGGTTAATGATTAAATATATCCTGTTATGTTCCATTGATCCCTGTTATGTATATTGACACTAATATAATGTGTCGTGTAGCTGTGGGCATGTATGTGAGTCTGGACTCGGTGGAGCAGAAGTTCAATGACATCCTGCGGGAGAGTGGGCGGGAACAGAGCTCAAGGCAGACTGCCAGCACATTCGCACAACAGAAGTCATGTCTAGAGAGCGACGTCAGTTCATTACTCTATTGTTTAATTCAAATTGATCAACGCTTTTATAGCTAAAATCAAAAGCTCAAGCAAGTAATATTTGTACGTAAAAAGCTGACAATCAGGGGCGGATCTTAAAAATAAATTTTTTAATTGATAAATGTTGTAATTGTCGTGGAAGGACCAAAGGCAAACTTTTGGGTGGTCCAGAGTTCGAGTTACTGGAAGCGAAGAACCCTCCTCCTTAGTCCGCGCTTAGAGATCAAACTCTATTTTTGGCAATCATGTCCAATTGAAAGCGATGTTTTGTAATTGAAATAACTGCTCCATGTTTTCTTTAATAGTTATCGTGTATATTGAGTGCTTTCCAACGTCTTCCGGAAACTTTTTTGTAGCATGTGATTCAATGAACACTTTAGGGCTCTTTTATTTTAGCACCTAGCAAGTTATAGCTCCCAGAATACTAAAATGCTACAGAGGAAGGACTAGGTTTTTTAGTGCAAGGTTTAATGGGTTAAAATGGGAAAAACCCACTTTTGTATGAACATCAAATTTGTTTCAGTTGATTGATTGCTATATTTTGGACCACAATGCCTTCGTTGTGATGTCCGAAAATAAAGACCACGTAAGCTTTCATTTTTATGACCCCAATCTAATCTTCTATCTCTTGGTTCCAAATTTAACTTCAGTTCAGCTTCTCTTCTTTTTAGTTTTCCAAGTTCTTCGGAGAGATAGACGGAAACGCAATGAGATCGTTGGAGTCAATGAACCTTTTCAAGAAGTGAGTAAAAATAACCCGAGCAAAATATGATCATAATCAGATGTGTCGACTGAAGTTTCATCTGTTATTTTACTTTGAACTGGGGTTTTGAAGAACAGTTTTCGCAAGAGGGGGGGGGGGGGGGGGGTCGAGAGGGGTCCAATTTATAGGTCAGCCAAATTGATTTTACCACCGCCTTAACTCCGAAAAGAACCAAATGTCCCAAAAATGTCTACACCGCGCGTGCTTTTTTTCAGAAAACGTGCCAAAATTTTTGTTTTAGAATATTATTTACAAAGGGTTTTGACTTAAATTTGATCGCTTTTTTTAATGAGTTCTTATTTTTTGCTTGTTGCAGTTACACACTGTTGGATCAACAAGGCATGTGTGAGTTCACAATATCCAATGAAAAGGCAGCAGCCAACAGACCCTCATTTGCGGTGAGTCATTCTCACTTCGATTATGCTTCATTCGGCCAATCAGCGATACTTAGATATTGGGCCGAGGTTCTCATTTTATCCAAGGAGCAAGTGACAAAAACTCGGTGCTGATTTGACTCAACCAATCAGAATTGGTCAAATGAACATTTTACTGATGAGAAGTTTATTTTTTTAACTAATGACAAGTTTTACATAAACTCATACCTTGATGGATAGCTACTCTGATAAGACAATTTTGATGAATTAACAAACTTGTTCACCTGTTTAGTTGTTCCGAGCATCTGCGAGAATTGTGGAACTTACTTTCGGGTGAGTGGATTATCAGCTAACTCTTAATTGTATCAACATTAATCCCAACTAATAACTTCATAAGGTAACTTGTGGTATGTGGTGTGCTTTGGGTTTCAGACTAATCTCTCAACTAGTATTCGTCAACATATTCCAATTGTCGCTTCCACTCATGGACATCTGGAACAGAGCCATGGTTCTTGGTAAACAACCTATTAACTTATAACTGGCTTACTAACCTTTTTTTTGTTCGCAAAGCGTAAAAGACTGCCATAGACTTAATTTATCATCCAATGTCAAAAAGATGATTTCCTCTGGTGTCTTTACGAGGTTTCCCGAAAATAAATGATAAATAAAAGGTCTAATATGGGGAAAAAACTTTGAATTTCATTTATAAACTATTTCTATAGAAAAATACACATCTTTCTGAATAAAATTGAGACACCGCTGAAAGCGAGCCAGAAAGTTCCTGACACTTTTTCAGACTAATGCGTCAATGATTCTAAATGCTATTCACGTAACAATGATTAAAGTCTCTTTACGTGTGAAAACATTTGACGATGGATGTTAGCACTGAAGGAGGTGTGATTTAGCCGAAGACTTCAAGGAGAACTTGGAGGAGGCGGTGGACAGTGTGGTGAGTCCAACTCTGAATGAACCCACAATTGTGATTGAGAAGAAGGGCTACGAGCCATGTGACATGGAGAAGTTAGTCTACTTGAGGAACTTCGAGGCTGTGGACGGACACACCAAGTACGAGTGCAAGGAACTCAACGCACAACTCAAGTGCTTCAGGTCAGTCGTAGCGCGGGGGGGGGGCTCTTTTTCCTTCCCCCAGTGTAAAATATACAAATAAAAATTTTGTTCAGAAAATTCGATTGTTATGAAAATTGGCATACGGACTAATTAGGCGCTGGCAAATTTATTTGGTCTTCATAATTAACCTTCAAAACTACTCGTTACACCATAAAATAGATGCTCGTGGTGAGTTGGGGGGGGGGGGGGGGGGGGAGGGGGGAGCGGAGAAAGAGCTGCATGGGGTTGTACGGTACTAAAATATGAATGTTGAGGCTAACCTGCATTCCATGGAAGGATGGTCAAGGAAGAATGAGACGACAGTGTGGTAACTAAACGAAAATTTTGTGAAAAGTTGAAACAATCAGAAGCGCGCAAAGATTCAGCAGAAAGCAAGTCCTGATCACAAATTTATCATGAAAATTGTTTGCGTCTTTTTTTATCGTAACATCATGTTAATTCAGAAGATGTATGGATTTTGATGACTTTCAAATTTAAGACATTTAAAATTCAACAAAGGTCTAATAATATGTAAGTTTTTTTCCAATAAATTTCAGTTTTCAAATCCAATTTGAAACGACAGAAAGTCAAATTTTAAGTCACGGAAAGAAGTTTGTTATTATGGTCTTCAAATCCTCGAAGAGGGCACTTATTAATCTGAAACGAGATAGAAGAAAGTTTTTTCCTTTAAGTTTCTAGAAGTGAAATGGAGCTTTTTCTGTTGTTTGAGTAGAATAGCACCTCTCAAATTACTTTTAAAAAACAATAGTCGTATCTTTTGCTGCTATAGAAAGATGTTGTACACGGACATAAGGGAGACCAATTTAGTGCTGCTGACAGTCATCAACTCCCCCAACTGCCAGTGCAATCGGGAGCCCTTCAGTCTGCGCAAGACGAGGAAGGAGTACGCCAGCAACCTGGAAAAGTGTGACCGGATGCTGTTCCAGAAACACAGGTCCAGACCGCCCAACTGTGAAAACTTCCACGAAAAGGTCAGAACAGATTAACAGATACATATTGTTAAATTTCCCCCATGAAACTTTTTGTTGAGGGTTTGAAGTTAATTCAAATCAGAAATTTACCGTTATAATTCAATAGTAAGTTGGGGTGCCCAAATGCTACTAATAATTGTCAATAACGCTAATTAATTTCAAATTTGTATAACGATTAATATCTTAAGTCAAAAAAATTAAACTGCAATAAAAGAATTAATTTAAATGATTATAATTTTTCTGTGTTGTAGGAGGACTCCAAACATTGTGGTCGGAGCTTCCGAACAGAAGTGACTTCTCTTCTTCTCTGGATTTCAATCGTATTCCACTGCATCAGACATAGCTTATAACCTCATAAACTTTGATTAATAAACTCAATTGAAAACAACGAATCAATAACTTGAAGTTTATTGATTCCCTTCTTGCTGAAATATTATACAAAAATTTGCAAAAAGTGAAAAAAAGTTCTTTTTGGCGAAAAAAAACCGTAATGGAAAGAGGAAAAGTTATTATATAAAAATACAAATCGCGAGAAGGAAAATTCTGCGAAAAGGTAGTTTTTTTAGTTCTATATTTTATCATTTCAGTTAGAAACTAGATCTCTATCTTCATCTCCGCACATCCAAAATCTTTACTTCTAAAGTTGCAGCGAATACTCAAAAATTATAATTTGTAATCATTTGTATCAAAGAATTGACATATTTTTATAGCTACGGTTTTGAAAGCTAAACAAGCTCATCTGGCCGAAAGTTAACATAGCTTCGAGTATTCCAATCGGTTTTTGGGGGTGTATAAATAGTTTCTACGGGGTGGTCGTAGTTTCCTTTAAGACAACAAGCCATTCTTTTCAATGAACATTTAACAAAAAAAAACGAAAAAATTACATTTTTTCTACTATTTTTTTCCCCGGATAATTGTTTTACTCGCACATTTTAAAAGGACATTGATAGAGAATAATGAAATTTTTGTGCGTAATCAAAAAAATTTCCTGCAGGTGACGTCCTGTAAATGTACACTCAATTACACCCGCTCTTTGCTAAATTTCAATGTGAAAAGCAAAAGAATTCAGACCAGTTTTCTTGACATTGGGAGAGCCTAGTTGAAGTTTGAACTTCAATAACGGCCATCATTGAGATGTGGAAAAACCCACCAAAACCAGAGTTGTCGGAAAAAGAAAATAACTCGGTCATATTTATGACGAAACAACACAATTTACAGAATGGGTAAATTTTTTTTTTACAACGTATAATCAAATTCAGTACATTTTTTTCATAGTTTTGACAACATCACGAGAAGTCCGAATAGTCTTCGTTCGATGTCCAACTGTGTTTCTCTTGTCCTTTGAGAGCCGGCGAGAATATATTGATAGACTGGCAATTGTTGCTCGTCAGTAGGCAGTGACGGTCGTTCTCATTGGCTGACACCATGGCAACGGAGTCTTTCGAGCAAGTGAGGTCGCTGCTCTTTTCAAGGCCAACTGAGCCGTAGTTGACAGTTATAGATCCTTTGATGAAGAAGTTTGTCTGAATCAGATCTCGTTTAAATCTTCAACTTAATTTTTTTAAATCTGAATTTACTACAAAAAAGCAGCTATTAAAAAAATTTTAATAGTGATTCGGGAGAGATCAGAAAATCAATACAAAAAAAAGTGGTTTTTGTATGCGTACCTTTAAAAACTCGTCGTACTCGAGTCTGACTGAATCGTCATTGTATGTGCAATGGGTGACACTAATCGGGTATCCGTCCTCCTCCAGCAGAAACCGAACACTGCTTCCTTTTCCCCAATCCACACACCTAAATTTCAAAAGCTTCATTACGATTTCAGACCGATTTGTATCTTTTTGTGTTTGTTAGCGGACTCTGCCTGCAAAAAGGCTAGAAAATAATTGCGGATTCCGCAACAAGTCTCAAATTCCTCGATCTCTTTTTTCAAGGAAAACAACCAAAAAATGAATTTAGGACTCCGTAAGAAGCTGAATAGGTGGTATGATGGTTATTTGCCTCATGAGTAAATTATCTTAATCTTAATCAAACGAAAAACAAGAAACTCAACAAGAATAGTCGATTGCGATCAAGTTAACACCCCCCCCCCCTCCAAAATAGACCAAGTTAAGATCCTCCACCCCAGCGCTTAATTTAAATTGAATTTGCTAAGCGCTGCATGTAAAATGCTCGATTCTGATTGACTGAAAAATCCCAACTTATAACTAAGTTAACATTCTCCCACCCCCCGGCTTGGGTGATGTTAACTTAGTCCGTCGATTGGTGTGCGGTTAGTGTGTGATATGTATTATGTAAGATAGAATGATCTTCAGTCCACCAAGTCATTATGTTGAGTTGAGACGTCTGTGACGTCACAAAACTTATCTGAAATAGGATAAAAGTTAAAACACCATAAGACATTATAACCATTTTGTATCCAGTTGCTTTTCTTCAAAGGAAACTCTTCAATATGGTAGCAGGAGGTTAACTTGAAAAATTTTTATAACAGCAAAAACGAACCACACGAAGAGTATTGAAAGCAAGAAAAACATCTCAAATGAATGAAGAGAACGAAAGAACTCCTACTGGAGACAAAACAAGGCAATTCAAATGGATTTCACAGATATCTGTGGGGAGTACTGAGGTGGGCACAAGCAACAGTAGTGTGTAGGATGCCGCATTAGAACTGGAAAGGTTAAAACGGAGGTTAGAAGCATTTGAAGAGATAGAGAAGCATTGGACGGAATGAGAGAACAGAACAGAAGAGACAAATCGAGGGTCAGGATGCAAGATGTAAATGTACCGATTTTGAAGTCAACAGAAGTGGAAGAGTATCGGAGGTGGACGAAAAGTTTACTGTCGTTGAGTGAATGTGCGCAAGTCCCACTAGAAATGCAGGCACCGCATGTTATTATGGTTGGTACAATAAATTCAGAATTGACCGAAGTCGTTATTGCGATGGATAGAGACGAGGCAAACCGAATCTGGGATAACCGATGTAAGTGACATGCTGGATGAATACTTGACACCAAATCCATTCCTAAAACTGGCACAAACTTACAGGCAAGGAAACAGATGTAAAAATGTCCGGAGATCTATTAGGATGAGTACATGCAGAGCATAAAGCGATATAGGAGGGATATGAACGAAGCGGAAAGGACAATTAATGACAGAGTATTTTGTATAGCGCTCCTAGAAGGACTCAACCTAGATGAAGCAACAAAATTATTGTCGAGAAGATAGCATAAAACAAAGAACACGGGGGAACGGAAGCGAGGATGGACTCAATTTCATTAGAACAGACATTGCGGAGGTTTACGGTAAATGAGAACCAAACCTCTAATATCCCATTAAGCCAGAACCTTAGCAGAGGATACCATTGGGGAAACAGGGGCCAAACTCGGAAGAGGTGGTTACAGATCTGCGAAAGGCAGATCTGTTCAGTAAGGAGGATGTTTTCGATGTGGGTCATTGGGTCATATGACGCGAGAGTGTAAAACAATTTATGGGATGATGATGGGAAATGGAAGAAGAAGTGAACAATTATACCGAGGAAACCCTGGGTATGGTAAGAGATTTCATCAGAATTTTCAAACGACTTCAACAAGTACGGACATTGAGGAGAATTGTGATGAGGAAGATCAGGTGCATCAACCGAAATTTGCGCAGATTGATGAGTTGATTGAGACGTCACCTTGTTATTTCGCAGACAAATGGGAGATAGCAGAGAGCAGAGAAGAAAAAATGAATGGTGAAATTCAACTCAAAATAATTGAAGATTCAAGGGCGGCAATATCAACAATATCAATGTAACAATGGAGAGAAATTGAGCAGAGAATTGAGGGAGAAGAATGGAAACACTTAGAGGAAAAAAATTGAAATGGAAAACTAATTTAAAATCGGGAGAGGAGGAGTAATCAAAGCTAAAACTGTGGGGTTGTTACCAATTAGGGCAGCGGGAAGTTTTACAACATTAAAATTGAAATTCATTGATGGTGACACTCCACTATTACTTGGAATAAAAGCAACCGAACAACTAAAAATCACCCTAGATCTCCCAAACAACCTGATGTGGACCCCAGAAAAAGAGTTTAAACTAACCCGATTGATTGTGGGACAACGAATATGGAGAGTAAAAGTAGATAGACTAAAGCTGCACATGAAACAACGAATTAAAAAAGAGAAGATCTGTTGTACGGAAAGAATTTGTTATGATGAAATTGATAGAAAAATAATCAAAGATATCCATCTTAGGTTTGGTCACGCGAGTGAAATTAAAACGAAAATGTTATTGGAAGAGTTCGAGATGAATAACAACCTACGAACCAAAGATACAGATGAAGTATTCGAAAATATAATTGCAAACTGCACCGCATGTAATGAAACTGGAAACATCAGAAATTTTTTGGCTCCTAGGAGAGAAGACTTTAACGATTCGTTGTCAATTGACCTAGCAGACTGGACAGACTCTAAAACAAACTAAAAAACTACACTGTTACACATGATACATGAGTTTTCGCGTTTCTCAGTTGTAACTGTGGTAGAATCTAAGAAACCAGTTATAATCACGGAGAACATTCTAATTGGTTGGCCTATGCGGTTTGACCTACCTGTAAGTTTTCCACATGATTTGGGAGGGGAATTCAAAATGACCTGACCATACTTTGGATGTCTTATTAAAACCACAGCTGGTTATGCGCCCTTCTCCAATGGAGTAGTCGAGAGACATAATGGTATCATTGAAGGAATGCTGACAAACCTGAGAAATAAAAATTGCTGGGAGATATCATTAGAAGCAACCATCGCAGTAGCTCTATTTGCAAAAAAATTCATTTTTAGATGTAAAGGGACTTTCTCCTTATCAGAAATTTACGGATCAAATGCAAAAAGTGGGGGCTCAGAAGAAGAATTACCACCAAGATTTGAGGGAGAAGAATGGAAACACTTAGAGGAAAAAAATTGAAATGGAAAACTAATTTAAAATCGGGAGAAGTGGAGTAATCAAAGCTAAAACTGTGGGGTTGTTACCAATTAGGGCAGCGGGAAGTTTTACAACATTAAAATTGAAATTCATTGATGGTGACACTCCACTATTACTTGGAATAAAAGCAACCGAATAACTAAAAATCACCCTAGATCTCCCAAACAACCTGATGTGGACCCCAGAAAAAGAGTTTAAACTAACCCGATTGATTGTGGGACAACGAATATGGAGAGTAAAAGTAGATAGACAAAAGCTGCAGATTAAACAACGATTTAAAAAAGAGAAGAACTGTTGTACGGAAAGAATTTGTTATGATGAAATTGATAGAAAAATAATCAAAGATATCCATCTTAGGTTTGGTCACGCGAGTGAAATTAAAACGAAAATGTTTTTGGAAGAGTTCGAGATGAATAACAACTTACGAACCAAAGATACAGATGAAGTAATCGAAAATATAATTGCAAACCGCACCGCATGTAATGAAACTGGAAACATCAGAATTTTTTGGCTCCTAGGAGAGAAGACTTTAACGATTCGTTGTCATTTGACCTAGCAGACTGGACAGACTCTAAAACAAACTAAAAAACTACACTGTTACACATGATACATGAGTTTTCGCGTTTCTCAGTTGTAACTGTGGTAGAATCTAAGAAACCAGTTATAATCACGGAGAACATTCTAATTGGTTGGCCTATGCTGTTTGACCTACCTGTAAACTTTCCACGTGATTTGGGAGGGGAATTCAAAATGACCTGACCATACTTTGGATGTCTTATTAAAACCACAACTAGTTATGCGCCCTTCTTCAATGGAGTAGTCGAGAGACATAATGGTATCATTGAAGGAATGCTGACAAAACTGAGAAATAAAAATTGCTGGGAGATATCATTAGAAGCAACCATCGCACAAGCTCTATTTGCAAAAAATTCATTTTTAGATGTAAAGGGACTTTCTCCTTATCAGAAATTTACGGATCAAATGCAAAAAGTGGGGGCTCAGATGAAGAATTACCACCAAGATTTGAGGGAGAAGAATGGAAACACTTAGAGGAAAAAAATTGAAATGGAAAACTAATTTAAAATCGGGAGAAGTGGAGTAATCAAAGCTAAAACTGTGGGGTTGTTACCAATTAGGGCAGCGGGAAGTTTTACAACATTAAAATTGAAATTCATTGATGGTGACACTCCACTATTATTTGGAATAAAAGCAACCGAAAAACTAAAAATCACCCTAGATCTCCCAAACAACCTGATGTGGACCCCAGAAAAAAAATTTAAACTAACCCGATTGACTGTGGGACAACGAATATGGAGAGTAAAAGTAGATAGACAAAAACTGCACATGAAACAACGATTTAAAAAAGAGAAGATCTGTTGTACGGAAAGAGTTTGTTATGATGAAATTGATAGAAAAATAATCAAAGATATCCATCTTAGGTTTGGTCACGCAAGTGAAATTAAAATGAAAATGTTTTTGGAAGAGTTCGAGATGAATAACAACCTACGAACCAAAGATACAGTTGAAGTAATCGAAAATATAATTGCAAACTGCACCGCATGTAATGAAACTGGAAACATCAGAAATTTTTTGACTCCTAGGAGTAAAGACTTTAACGATTTGTTGTCATTTGACCTAGCAGACTGGACAGACCAAAAAGTTACACTGCTACACATGATAGATGAGTTTTCGCGTTACTCAGTTGTAACTGTGGTAGAATCTAAGAAACCGGGTATAATCATGGAGAACATTCTAATTGGTTGGCCTATGCGGTTTGACATACCTGTAAGTTTTCTACATGATTTGGGAGGGGAATTCAAAAATGACTTGA